GAGCAAGGGCCTTGTAAATGACCTTGGAGGGCCGTATCTGGCCCCCGGGCCTTAGTTTGAGGACCCCTGTTCTAGAGGCATTCTCTCCTGATGTTTCGCCTGCATCTATGGCAAGCATTCAGAGGTAGTGAGGTCTGTTGGAACTAGGAAAATGGGTTTCTATATCTGTGGAATGACCAGGGTGGGACAAAGAACTCTTGTCTGTTGGAGCTAGGTGTGAATGTTTCAACTGACCACCTTGATTAGCATTTGATGCCTGGCAGTGCCTGGGGGAATCTTCTGTTGAGAGGTGATTAGGTGTCCTTGATTGTTACGTCTCTGTTGTTTTGCTGTTGTAATTTTAGAGTTTTTTTTTAAAAAAATGGTAGCCAGATTTTGTTCACATTCATGGTTTCCTCCTTTCTGTTGAAATTGTCCACATGCTTATTGTCCACACCAGAAACGACTTGGAGTTTCTCAAGTCGCTCTTTACACGACAAAAAAAAAACAAAAACTGTTGCTAAGGAGGCTGTTCAGGTCCTGAACCCCAAGATTATGGCAACCAGAGGGAGAAAACGTGGAGGCCATGACAAACTTTGTATTTCTAGGTGCAAAGATGACTGCAGACGCAGACTGCAGCCAGGAAATCAGGAGACACTTACTTCTTGGGAGGAGAGCAATGTCCAATCTCGATAAAATAGTGAAGAGTAGAGACATCACACTGGCAACGAAGATCCGCATAGTCAAAGCCATGGTATTCCCCATAGTCACCTACGGATGTGAGAGCTGGACCATAAGGAAGGCTAAGTGAAGGAAGACAGATGCTTTTGAACTGTGGAGGTGCTGGAGGAAAATTCTGAGAGTGCCTTGGACCGCGAGAAGATCCAACCAGTCCATACTTCATGAAATAAAGCCTGACTGCTCATTGGAGGGAAGGATAGTAGAGGCCAAGATGAAGTAGTTTGGCCACATCATGAGAAGAAGGGAAAGTTTAGAGAAGACAATGATGCTGGGGAAAGTAGAAGGTAAAAGGAAGAGGGGCCGACCAAGGGCAAGATGGATGGATGGATGGCATCCTTGAAGTGACTGGACTGACCTTGAAGGAGCTGGGGGTGGTGACAGCTGACAGGGAGCTCTGGCGTGGACTGGTCCATGAGGTCACGAAGAGTAAGAAACGACTGAACGAATGAACAACAACATCCCCCACTTGCATGGAAGCCATCAGCCACTAGAGGCCACTGCCTGACTCCATCCTAATGAAATAAATACATAATAATACATAATAATGACATAATACTAAAATAACAAAATAATAATAAAATAAAAATATTATAATATTAAAATAATAATAAAATAAAATAATAATATGTAATATTGCTATAATATATAATAAAATAATATAATAATAATAATGAAGTAATAAAATATAATAAAATAATAAAAACATAATAATAAAATATTAAAAATACAATAATCTATATAAATAAAAATGTAATGTTTGTTTGTGGTATTAACAGAACTCAGAAACCACTGGTCAAATTGACACCAAATTTGGACACAAGACACATAACAGTCCGAGTGTCCATCACCCATAAACACACACACACACACACACACACACACACACAAAACCCCAGCAGAACAGACTTAAAAACCCAAAAATACACCATATATACATACACACATACACTCATATACATATGCACATGCACACATTCATACACACATGCGTATATATGTATATGCACAAACACACACAAATACACACATACACACACACACATATATACATATACACATGCACACACATATACATATCCACACACATACATATATACACACAAATATGCATATAGACAAACACACACATATACACAATATGCATGTACACATAAATACACACATATATACACAAATATATATACACACACATATACACCCCTATATATATGTATATGTATATAAGCAAACACACATATATACACAAATATATACACAATATGCATATACACATATAAACACACAAATACACAAATATATATACACACACACACATACACACACACATATATACACACACACATATACACCCCAGGGGCGGCTCAACGCATTATGCAAAGTAAGCATTTGCAGTATAGTTGATTTTGCCCAGGGGCGTTCTTGAGGTGCTCTTGGAGGAAAATAGACCTTGACATATATGCGAGTTGTAGTCACTGAGATGTATAGTTCACCTACAATCAAAGAGCATTCTGAACTCCACCAATGATGGAATTGAACCAAATATGGCACACAGAACTCCCATGATGAACAGAAAATATATATCTGTGATTGGTTGGGGGGGGAGGGGAATACTGTTTGCTTATTGTTGAAAATTACCTAGGGCCGCCTCTGATACACCCCTATATATATATGTATATGTATATAAGCAAACACACATATATACACAAATATATACACATATATACACAATATGCATATTGTGTGTATTTGTGTATTTGTGTGTTTATGTGTGTATATGCATATACACACATAAACACACAAATACACAAATACACACACACACATATATATATGCAAACACACACATACACACACATATACACAAACAAAACACATATACACAGACTGGGCCACAGCAGGGGACGGCTAGTAATCTATATAAATAAAAATGTAATGTTTGTGGGATGAACATAACACAAAAACCGCTGGACGAATTAACACCATATTTGGACACAAGACACCTATCAGGCCAACAAGTGACCATCACTCAGAAAAACACTGAAAAACACTGCAGAAGGGACTTAAAAAGCCAAAAAAGCAAAAAATGCAATAAAATGCATGTGCAAAACTACATATATATATATATATATATATATATACACACACACACACACACGCAAACACACATAATACACAGGGGGATGGCTAATACAATAATAATAGTAATGCTACGCCCCACTAAAGGCCACTGCCTGAGTCCATCCTTTTCCCTTCCTGAGCTTCTTCTTTGCCATTGCTATTCCCTCATTGGCCACTAGAGGCCACTGCCTATTTTATTTATCGTGTCATCAGCAACCATACCATTGTATTACATTACATACAGAACAAAACAAACAAACAGATAAAAAAAGCACAAATTTTGCAAACTTGGTAGTTGATTAAATGTCCTTTGACCAGTATCTGGCCACTTGGAGTGCCTCTGGTGTTGCCGCAAGAAGGTCCTCCATTGTGCATGTGGCAGGGCTCAGGTTGCATTGCAGCAGGTGGTCAGTGGTTTGCTCTTCTCCACACTCACATGTCGTGGATTCCACTTTGTAGCCCCATTTCTGAAGGTTGGCTCTGCATCTCGTGGTGCCAGAGCGCAGTCTGTTCAGCGCCTTCCAAGTCGCCCAGTCTTCTGTGTGCCCAGGGGGAGTCTCTCATCTGGTATCACCACGGATTGAGGTGCTGGGTTTGAGCCTGCCACTTTTGGACTCTCGCTTGCTGAGGTGTTCCAGCGAGTGTCTCTGTAGATCTTAGAAAACTATTTCTTGATTTAAGTCATTGACGTGCTGGCTGATACCCAAACAGGGGATGAGCTGGAGATGTCTCTGCCTTGGTCCTTTCACTATTGGCTGCTACTTCCCGGTGGATGTCAGGTGGTGCAATACCGGCTAAGCAGTGTAATTTCTCCAGTGGTGTGGGCTATAGACATCCTGTGACAATGCAGCATGTCTCATTAAGAGCCACATTCATTGTTTTATCATTGTGCAATATGTTCCACACTGGGCATGCATACTCAGCAGCAGAGTAGTACAGCGCAAGGGCAGATGTCTTCACTGTGTCTGGTTGTGATCCCCAGGTTGTGCCAGTCAGCTTTCGTATGATATTGTTTCTAGCACCCACTTTTTGCTTGATATTCAGGCAGTGCTTCTTGTAGGTCAGAGCATGGTCCAGAGTGACTCCCAGGTATTTGGGTGCGCTGCAATGCTCCAGTGGGATTCCTTCCCAGGTAATCCTCAGAGCTCGGGATGCTTTTCTGTTCTTAAGGTGAAAGGCACATGTCTGTGTTTTAGATGGATTAGGGATCAGCTGGTTTTCCCTGTAATAGTCAGTAAGAGCACCTAGAGCTTCGGAGAGCTTCTGTTCAACCATCTCAAAGCTCCCTGCTTGAGCGGTAATGGGGGACATGAGAGAAGCCTCCTCGCAGGATTGCAAGACATCCGGGCATCCCCTGGGCAATGTCTTCGTAGACGGCTGATTCTCTCACTCCAGAAGTGACCAGAAGCGACTTGCAGCATGCAAGCAAGCAAGCAAAACAACCAGATCTTGGCAGGCCCGTAGCCAGGATTTTGTTTCGGGGGGAGCTGAGTTTGATTCGGGGGGGGGGGCTGAGTCTGAGTGAAAGAGGGTCTACCTTAGCAAACCTTTTGTATCATTACCCCAATACCCCCATGCATATGGGATATATTGAGTATGGTGATCAGATCATGATATGAATAAACATAACAGATTAAATAATGCACCAGTAAGGCCTTTTTGCCACCATGAGAATTTCGGGGGGTGGGCTGAAGCCCCCAAAGCCCCCCCCCCCGCCCCCCGGCTACACGCCTGGCCTGAGTCCATCCTTTTCCCTTCCTGAGCTTCTTCTTTGCCAATGCAATTCCCCCATTGGCCACTAGAGGCCACTGCCTGAGTCCATCCTTTTCCCTTCCTGAGCTTCTTCTTTGCCATTGCAATTCCCCCTTTGGCCACTAGAGGCCACTGCCTGAGTCCATCCTTTTCCCTTCCTGAGCTTCTTCTTTGCCATTGCAATTCCCCCATTGGCCACTAGAGGCCACTGCCTGAGTCCATCCTTTTCCCTTCCTGAGCTTCTTTGCCATTGCAATTCCCCCATTGGCCACTAGAGGCCACTGCCTGACTCCAGCCTTTTCCCTTCCTGAGCTTCTCCTTTGCCATTGCAATTCCCCCATCGGCCACTAGCGGCCACTACCTGACACTATATTTTTCCCTTCCCGAGCTTCTTTTTTGCCATTGCAACTCTCCACTGTTGGACTCCCTCCTTTTCCCTTTCTGATCTCCTTAATCTTCGCCCTTGCAACTCCCCCATCGGCCACTAGAGGCCACTGTTTGGCTCCATCCTTTCCCCTTTCTGATCTTCGCTGGACCACTTTCTTCCCAGCATCTGAGCCGAGAGCATCCTTCATCTTTGCCTTCTCCATTCTCCCCTTTTTCGCTCCTTTGCATTCGGATGGATGGCGACCCGCTACTTCCTCGGGGGCACCATGAAGCAGATCTGCTTTTGTGCCGCTTCCTCCTTTGCGGTAGGTGAGACCACTCCTCCTTATTTCATTTATTTCTCCTCCGATGGCTTCCTTTTCCTCCGCTCCACCATAATCTCCATCCAGCTTTGTTTCTCGCAGGCTCCTTTGCACTCTGTGCATGCTCAGAGGTCAAGTAGGCGGCTTCCACGTTTGCTGCATTGTATTCTATCGTCCTTTCCTTCGCCTTTGTATGTCAGTGATTATTATGTTATTTTTATTATTATACTATATCATTATATATATATATATATATATTATAATATGTTATAATATATATTATATTAATATCATTCTATATATTACTTTACTATTATATTTTATTAGATGTTATATCATTATCATTATACACTATTACTTTGTTATATATTATTATATTATATTTATTATTTTATATTTATTATACTATATACTTATTATATACTATTTTATTAGTATATTATATATTACTATATAATGTGTATTATATGTTACATTATATGTATGCTTGTATTATTTTTATTTTGTATATAGTTATTATGTATTATTGTTTTATTATATTATCTATTACTATATTATATTTATTATTATATATAATATTATCATTATATACTACTGCTTTATTAGTAGTATTTGTTATTTTATTATTTTATTAGTATATTATATATTAATAAGGGTACATTACATTGTTTTGGAGCATTGTTGCTGTTCAGAGTCTCAGGACAGAAAAGCAAGGCCTCGGTTAATATTGCAAAAATAATAGCTAATAATAATAAAATAATAATATATAATAAAACATTAAAATATTATAATAATATAATAATATAGATAATAATATAAAATAATAATATAATATAATATAATATATAATAATATATAGTAATATATTACAATAATAATATATAATCATTTAATAATAATATATAATAAAATAATATTAAAATAGTAAATATTAAAATATAATAATAATAATAATAATAATAATAATAATAATAATAATAAATACGACAACAACAACAACAATAATAAATACAATCTTAATGCTATGGCCCACTTACATGGAAGCCATTGCAACTGTCACATTGTCTTCCCACTAAGGAGATTTTAAGGACACTCCGGAGGCCAACATGTCAGCAATTCTCAATTAAAAACGCTGATGAGCATTGGAAGCTGACTGTCAACGGAGCAAGGCCCTCTTTTCTATCAAACCAAAGGAGGAAAAGCCGAGGTCTTTAAGCAGTGGCTGGGTGGTCATCTGTCAGGAGTGCTTGGATGGCGTTTTCTTCCATTGGGTTAGACGGGGTCCCCTTCTGATGTTTGAAATGCTACGATTCTCTTAAATGAATATTAGCCAAGCTAGTGGAATGGATTGGTGACCCGCTCATTAATTGAGGTTGGACTGGATGACCATTGGGGGTCTCTTCCAACGTTTCTCCTTTGTTTTATGCTGCCGAGAAAGACAAAGATTGAGGCCCTTTGGATTAACCACCACCACCAAAGCCAGGTGACGTCCAGGGAATATTAATACAAAGTCAGAAAGGGATTATCTTTAAGCCGAGGGAAGGAGCAGAGGAGGAATATAGAGGACATCATACCATTTGGAGCTATTCTTCGCAGATTAAGAATTGGGTCCAGCTCTTGAATATAAAGGAATGGATGGCTCCTATGGTGATGGGGAGAGGAACCCACTCCAGATTTTTCATTTAGACTTTGAAGGACCTCTCCAAGCCGCTGAATCTCATTCCTGGTCCATTTCCGCATCTAGGTGACCTCCTTGAAAGCGCTTTTTTCAGTGCCTTGGAGAACTTCCCTTGATGTTCTCTCTTGGTTCAGTGCTTTGGAGACCTTCTTGAAAGACTTGTTCAACATATTGGCGCTCTCTCTTGGTTTAGCATCTTGGAGAACTTCCTTGGTTCAGTGCCTTGGAGATCTTGTTGAAAGCACTACCTTGGTTGAATGTCTTTAGATCCCCTTGAAACTTTCTCTCTTGGTTGAATGTCTTAGAGATCTTCCTTGAAGTTCTCTCTTAGTTCAGTGCCTTGGATACCTTCTTGAAATACTTCTTTCAACACCTTGAAGATCTCCCTTAAAGCTCTCTCTTTGTGATCTTCCTTGATGTTCCCTCTTGGCTTGGTCTTGGAGACCTTCTTGTCTAAACACTTTGGAAATCTTCCTTGAAGCTCTCTCTTGGTTTAGCATCTTGGAGAACTTCTCCTGATGTTCTCTCTTGGTTCAGTGACTTGGAGACCTCCTTTAAGTTCTGTCTTGGTGCAGCATCTTTGAGATCTTCCTTGAAGTTCTCTCTTGGTTCAGTTCCTTGGAGACCTTTTTGAAAGACTTAGTTCACTACCTTGAAGATCTCCCTCAAAGTTCTCTCTTGGTTTGGCATCTTGGAAAACTTATTCTGATGTTGGTTCAGTGTCTTGGAGTTCTTCATTGAAGTTCTCTCATGGTTTAGTGCCTTGGAGATCTTCCTGAAAGACTGGGTTCAGTGCCTTGGAGATCTCCCTTGAAGTTCTCTCTTGGTTTAGTGCCTTGGAGATCTTCCTGAAAGACTGGGTTCAGTGCCTTGGAGATCTCCCTTGAAGCTCTCGCTTGGTTCAGTGCCTTAGAGACCTTCTTGAAAGACACCTTGGAGATCTCCCTTGAAGCTCTTACTTCATGAACTTCCTTGAAGTTCTCCCTTGGTCCAGTGCCTTAGCAAGCTTCTTGAAAACACTACCTTGGTTGAATGTCTTGTATATCCCCTTGAAGCTTTCTGTCTTGGGTCAATGTCTTGGAAACCTTCTTGAAATACTTGGTTTAGTGTCTTGGAGATCTTCCTTGATAGCTCTCTATTGGTACAGTGCCTTGGAGAACTTCTCCAGATGTTCTCTCTTGGTTCAGTATCTTGGAGATCTTCTTGAAAGCACTAGCTTGGTTGAATGCCTTGTAGACCCCCCCCCCCCCCTTAAAGCTCTGTCTTGGTTCAACACTTTGGAGGTCATCCTTGAAGCTCTCTCTTGGTCCAGTGCCTTGGAAACCTTCTTGAAAGACTTGGTTCAACACCTTGGAGATCTCCCTTGAAACTGACTCATGGTTTAGCATCGTGGAGAACATCTCTAGATGTTCTCTCTTGGCCCAGTGCCTTGAAAACCTTCTTAAAAGACTCTGTTCAACACCCTGAATATCTTCCATGAAGCTATCTCTTGGTTTAGCATCTTGGAGATCTTCCATGAAATTCTCTCTTGGTTCAACACTTTGAAGATTTCCCTTGAAATTCTTTCTTGGTTCAGTGCCTTGTAAACCTTCCTAAAAAACTTGGTTCAATACCAAGTGGGGCATAACATTACTATTATTATATTAATAATATTTTATTATTATGTTATTATTTTATTATATATTACATATTATTGTTTTATTATTTTGTTATTATTATTTTATTCTATATTACAATATTATACATTATCTCCCTTGAAGCTCTCTATTGATTTATCATCTTGGAGAACTTCTCATGATATTCTGTCTTGGTTAAGTTCCTTGGAGATATCCCTTGAAGATCTATCTTGGTTTAGCATCATGGAGATCTTCTCTAGATGTTCTCTATTGGTTTGGTGCCTTGGAGACCTTCCTGAAAGACATGGTTCAACACCTTGGAGATCTCCCCTGAAACTGACTCTCTAGATATTCTCTTTTGGTTCAGTGCCTTGAAGATCTTCTTGAAAGACTTGATTCAACACCCTAGAGATCTTCCTTGAAGCTCTCTCTTGGTCCTGTGCTTTGGAGAACTTCTCTTGATGTTCTCTCTTAGTCCAGTGCCTTGAAGACCTTCATGAAATACTTGGTCGGACACCTTGTTGATTTTCCTTTGAGATTTTCCTCCTTATCCTGAAGGTCTCTGGGTCGTGGCTTTGAAAGGGGAGGGTTTGCGTTCTAAGTAAAACAATGACGGCAACTTTTCCATGTTGTTTTCCCAGAGCCAGGACTGGAGCAAAAACGACGAAAAGCTCCTCCAGGCCGTGGAGTACAATGATGCCGACCGCGTCTCCTCTCTGCTCCTGCGGAAAGGGCTGGTCCCCACCAAGCTGGACTCCGAAGGAAAATCAGCGTAAGCCCCTTGACTTATTTTGGAGATTTTCAACCATGACTTGGTTGCATCCCACATTGGTGTCCATTGGTGTACCGTTGCACTCACTGAGGCTTGTGGGTTATTGCCTTCTCCTGCAAATGATCCCACTTGCTTTGTTTGGGTTTCTTTCTTCATTGGGCTACTACAGTTTTGAAAAATTTCTTTTTTTGTAAAATGCAGGTTCCACTTGGCTGCCATGAGAGGAAACGTGGACTGCCTAGAGGTGATGCTGGCCCATGGAGCCGATGCCATGACCATCGATGGATCGGGTATGGATTAAAAACCAACAATTAAATTGGATTCTTGGATTCAGTAGCCCTATTTCTCCATGATCTGACTCATGTCTATGAGGCTTGATGGCCACCTGTCGGGAGGGCTTAGTTGGGGATAATAGGTTTGGGTTGGATGGCCAACTCATTCTATGATTATTAAATACTAGCTGTTCCCTGCCACGCGTTGCTGTGGCCCAGTCTGGTGATTTGGAAAATAAAGTAATGAGAAAGTGTTGGTTGCTGATATCTGTAATTTATTTGTGCTTGTGGGTAAACAATATTTCTTGCTGGTTTTTTTTTTGTCAGTGTTGATGTGGAGATTGTCTTTTTGCCTACTCTGGGACATGCAACATATAATTGTCCTTTTTAGGGGTCCCTTTCAAGTCTATGATACTATATCTGTCATATACATGTGTGTGTGTGTGTGTGAATCATATCTCTCTATATCTATAGCTGGATGGCTCTTTGTCAGGAAGGCTTTGATTACGTTTTCTTGCCCTTGTGAAAGGAGTTGGACAGGATGGCCTTAAGTATGGGGGTTCTGTGTGGGAAGTTTGCCCCAATTCTGTTGTTGGTAGAGTTCAGCATGCTCTTTGATTATAGGTGAACTATAAATCCCAGTAACTACAACTCCCAAATGTTAAAGTCTATTTCCCCCAAACTCTATCTGTGTTCATATTTGGGCATATGGAATATTTGTGCCAAGTTTGCTCCAGATCCATCATTGTTTGAGTCCACAGTGCTCTTTGGATGTAGGTGAACTACAACTCCCAAACACAAGGTCAATGCCCACCAAACCCTTCTAGTCTTTTCTGTTGGTCATGGGAGTCCTGTGTGCCACGTTATTTCAATTTCATCATTGGTGGTGTTCAGCATGCTCTTTGATTGTAAGTAAACTATAAATCCCAACAACCACAACTCTCAAATGGCAAAATCAATTTTTGAGTGATGGTCACTCCTTGGGTTAGTAGGTGTCTTGTGGCCAAATTTGGCAGCAATTTGTCCAGTGGTTTTACATTTTTAAAAAATTACATTTTTATCTATATAGATTCAATACATTTGGTCTGCCTGCCCTTTCCTTGAAAGCCAATAACATTTCTCTCTTCCTTTCTCAATCCCCCTCCATTAAAGGCTTTGCGGCATTGCACCTCTCGGCGAAACACGGCCACCCACAGTGTGTGAGCAAACTCTTACAGGTAATATATTTGGGAATATTTGCGTACTCCTCTGTCAATCCTCCAAGCGAGTCTCCTTGATCCAAAGAAAGCCTATTGTAGTGCAGGCTTCACATCCTGACTTGTATCTCGCTTTTTAGGCTTCTTGCCCAGTGGACGTGGCGGACGGCCATGGAAGAACAGCATTGCATCACGCAGGTTAGTTCTGCGAACCTATCTTCTACTGTTGTTGTTTGGTATTTCATAACTAGCTGTACCCGCCACGCATTGCTGTGGCCAAACTTCCCTCCCTCTTTTTCTCCTTCCTTCCTTCCCTTCATCTTTCCTTCCTTGGCTCTTTTTCCTTCCCTTCCTATTTCTCTTCTTCTTTCTTCCGTCTCTACCTGTTGCTTTCCTTCCTTTCTTTGCTCTTTGGTTACATCCTTCCCTCTCTCTTTCCTTTAACTTTTTAATTTCCTTTTCTCCTTTCTTCCTTCTCTATCTTTCTTTCTTTCCTTCCTTCTCTCCTTCCCTCCTTCCTTCTTTCCCTTTTTCCCTCCCCCCTTCTCTCCTTTATTCCTTCCCTCTTTCCCTCCTTCTCCCATTACTTCAGGACTGTCCCTTCCAACTCTATTCTATGAGTCTATTTAATTTGTATTATATAGTAATATATAATAGCAACATATTATATAGTAATCTATATAACAGTAATAAGGAGCCCCCGGTGGTGCAGTGGATTAAACCCCGGTGCCGGCAGGACTGAAGACCGACAGGTCGCAGGTTAGAATCCGGGGAGAGGCGGATGAGCTCCCTCTATCAGCTCCAGCTCCTCATGCGGGGACATGAGAGAAGCCTCCCACAAGGTTGATAAAAACATCAAATCATCCAGGCGTCCCCTGGGCAACGTCCTTGCAGACGGCCAATTCTCTCACACCAGGAGTCACTCCTGACACGACAAAAAAAAAAATAACAGTAATACATAAAATACTGTAATTATATCTATATCTATATCTATATACTAGCCGCCCCCTGCCACGCGTTGCTGTGACCCACTCTGGTGATCATGGGGGTTCTGTGTGTGGGGTTTGCCCCAATTCTGTCGTTGGTGGGGTTCAGAATGCTCTATGGTTGTAGGTGAACTATAAATCCCAGCAACCACAACTCCCAAATGTCAAGACTCTATTTCCCCCAAACTCCAGCCGTGTCCACATTTGGGCATATTGAGTATTCGTGTAGAGTTTGGTCCAGATCCATCATTGTTCGAGTCCACAGCGATCTCTGGATGTAGGTGAACTACAACTCCAAAACCAAAGGACACTGCCCAGCAAACCCTTCCAGTATTTTCTGTTGGTCACGGGAGAACTGTGTGCCACGTTTGGTTCAATTCCATCGTTGGTGTGGTTCAGAATGCTCTTTGATTGTAGATGAACTATAAATCCCAGCAACTACAACTTCCAAATGACAAAATAATTTTTTTTTAGTGAAAGACATACATTGGGTTGTTAGCTGTCTTGTGTCCAAATTTGGTGTCAATTTGTCCAGTGGTTTTTGGTTTTTGAGTTCTGTTAATCCCACAAACAAACATTACACACACACACACACACACACACACATATATAATGGTCATTGCTCTCCTCCCAAGAAGTAAGCGTCTCCTGATTTCCTGGCTGCACTCTGCATCTGCAGTAATCTTTGCACCTAGAAATACAAAGTCTGCCACTGCCTCCATGTTTTCTCGCTCTATTTCTCAGTTGTCAATCATTCTTGTTGCCATAATCTTGGTTTTTTATGTTTAACTGGAACCCGGCTTTTGCGCTTTCTTCTTTCCCCTTGATTAGAAGGCTCCTCAGCTCCTTCTCACTTTCGGCCATCAAAGTGGTGTCATCTGCATATCTAAGGTTGTTGATGTTTCTTCCAGCAATTTTCACCCCAGCCTTGCATTCATCAAGCCCTGCACATCACATGATGTGTTTTGCATACAAGTTGAATAGGTTGAGCGAGAGTATACAACCCTGCCGTACGCCTTTCCCAATCTTGAACCAGTCTGTTGTTCCATGGTCAGTTCTGACTGTTGCGACTTGGTCCTTGTACAGATTCCTCAGGAGAGAGACAAGGTGGCTTGGTATGCCCATCCCACCAAGAACTTGCCACAGTTTATTATGATCCACACAGTCAAAGGCTTTAATTATATAGGTGGAAAGCACAGCCTTGTGTCTTAGCAGGGTTAGACTTCCAGCAATTATCTTTGCAGTAGCTGGAGAGATCTTTCAGGGCATTCGGAAGTTGGTTTTTGACTATTTCAAAGTCTTTTGCTTGTGTTGTTAGGGTATATAAAGCTCTTTGTGAGTGGTGGCTGTGGCGGATTGTTAGTAAAGATGTTAAACAAGGTCGGTGCAAGAATGCTTCCTTGGGGTAAACCATTCTTTTGCCTCCTCCATCTACTTTTCCTGCACTGAACCTATACTTCTTTATTTATGCAATGCTTTTGACATTAAATAAATAAATAAATAATCAATCATCATAACTGAAGGATCAAAACTCACCCAATACCTTTTCATTTGAATTCTGTAATGTTCGGAAGTCAGTTTCATTTTCAGTACAAGCAAGCAAAACAAAGCCAAAAAGGCTGCTATTTCTCTTTAAATTAAGAAGAGATACAGTGCCTCTCACCATGAAGAGAATCATGGAATCATAGAATCATAGAGTTGGAAAAGACCTCGTGGGCCATCCATTCTGCCAAGAAGCAGGAAAATTGCATTCAAAGCACCTCCAACAGATGACCATCTAGCCTCTAAAAGCCTCCAAAGAAAGAGCCTCCATCACACTCCTGGGCAGAGAGTTCCACTGCTGAACAGCTCTCCGTACAGTGAGGAAATTCTTCCTAATGTTCAGGTGGAATCTCCTTTCCTGTAGTTTGAAGCCATTGTTCCTCAACCTTGTCTCCAAAGTAGCAGAAAACAAGCCTTGTCCCTCCTCCCTATGAGGAAAGCAGCAGGGCGGGACAAGCTGAGTCAAAAGGTCCTGCTCTGAACTACATTTCCCAAAATTCTGCTCAGCATCAGAAAGCCCCAAACAGGATAGAGAAGGGAGAGATGTTTCCATCCATTTCCAATAAATGGTTGAATCTGCAAAGAGGAGGACTGACTGATACTTCAATACTACTAAGTAAATATGTGCTGGGCTGGGAAGAAATCCATAAATTGAAGTTTGATTGGTTCAAGACATTTAATGAGATAGCTGTTGTGGCTTTAATTTTTTTTTGTCAAAACTTCAAGAAATTTCCCTAAAATCAGTAGATGTGTGAATATTTCTGAAACTTGAGGGGAAGGATCCCCTGTTATCTTGTGTCATTATACAGAAAATTCAAGGAGATAGCCCTTGTGCATTTTTTAAAAAAATTGTTTGTAAAAACTTTGAAAATTCCCCCAAAATCCATAGATAAGCAAAATGTTCTGAAATTTGATGGGATAACAGTGGTCAATGTGTTCTATAATCATAGCAAGTTTCATACCGATAGCTCTAATAATAAGGGAGAATAGGCACCCCTGAAATTTCCCCATTGACACAATTACTTAACGAAAAGTAACATAAAAGTTATTGACTCGTTATAGTTACAATACAGACCCTGTCCAATTTCAGAAATACTTTGGAAACTATTTCCCCCCACCCACTAATTTTATAATGAGTACTGAAACATTTTTTTCATTGATTACACAGGCCTGATAGCTAGTCTTTAACTTGGTAGTAATATCCCATCTTTTTTTGCAGGTATTTATGCCATTTACGTTCCACATTTCTCTCGCCGCCTCCAACTTTTCAGTGCTCGACATTCTTGGCAGCGAGGCAATGGTCTTGTTTAACCTCTGGTGACAAATTAACTTCATATTTTCTCTCCTTTTCCCCAGCGGTCAATGGTTGCATCTCCTGTTTGGAGATCCTCTGTGACTTCAAGGCTTCCTTGAACACCAAGGATCAGGTGAGGTTTCCTCTGTTGACAAGGTCCATTTTGCCAGATAGTTTTCAGCACTGTACAAAACAGTGTTGAGTTTTGCTGCATCCCTGAACCTGCTGGCCGTCGCAGCACCATTCCGTTGCAGCTTCCAATCTTCCAAATCCTCCAGAGCAGTTGATATATTATGTGCATGGATTGGCAAGATATATCCACAGCGATGCCATTCACCTCCTCTCTTTTGTCTTTCCTTTCAATGCTGCTTCTGTTTTGGCAGGATGGGTCCACTCCGCTAATCCTGGCGGCGAAGATGAGCCATTCGGAGCTTTGCCGGTATTTGCTGCACCGCGGAGCTGCTGTCAATGCCAGAGACCAGAAAGGCCGGTGAGGATCTTTCCTAGGAGAAAGTGGGATTGGTGTCGGAGGAGCTTATGTCTTGTCTCCCCACCTGGGAAAGGTCATACAATTACACCATGTTCCTGGTTGGAAAGGGTTATTTCCTGTTTTGTTCTGCAGTCCTTATTTTGAAAGATAATTCATTGAAAAACTATCACAAGATGTGCTATAGCAGGATGTCCCACAAATACAAAATTTTGACAGTTTAATAAACTTTCCCTGTTTGATAATTTTGTGATAGAACCAATTAGGAAATTACATTGATCACCGAGAAACAAAAATTATGTTACATAGTGTTATGGATCACTTATGTTATGTTATGTTTTGTTATGGACCAGTCTCCAAGCTACTGACCATCAGCTGCCTTAGGAACCAAAACCTATTCCCTTCCATGAATAGATTCAGGACCTTGGCCTGAAAAAAACACAGAATACACTTGAGGTCATTCGATTGTAGAATACATGGAATGCTTGCCGTGTATATGTTGTGGTCTGCCCTAAGTCCCCTACAGGGTGAGGGGTGGAATATAAATATTTCAAACAATAAATAAATAATAATAGAATCTACCACCAAGGGCCTAACTTCACAATAGCTCTCCAAGGTGCTGAACCTGGCAGTCATTTGAGCTCTCCGAGGTGCTGAAATTGTGGTCCATTTCACTTCTCTGAGGTGCTGAAATTCCGGCCCATTTTAGCTCTCCGGATACTGAAAATGCGGTCCATTTCAGCTCTCCAAGGTGCTGAAACAGTGGCCCATTTAAGTCCCCTGAAGTGCTGAAAATGCGGTCCATTTCAGCTCTCCGAGGTGCTGAAATTCTGGCCCATTTCACTTCTCCAAGGAGCTGCATCTGCCATCTATTTGAGCTCTCCAAGGTGCTGAAATTCCAGTCTCTTTTTCCTCTCTGGGGCGCTGAAACTGCTGGCCATTTGAGCTCTCCAAAGGTGCTGAAAGTGAGGTCCATTCTAGTTCTCTAGGGTGCTGAAATTGCAGTCCATTTGAGCTCTTCAAGGTGCTGATCTTCAGCTGTCCTGAAAGCTATTCCCTTTATGAATGAATTCGGCACTTCCGTCCCCATTTCCTCGAAATGAATGGGGTCTCCCTTTCCTCCAGAACAGCCCTCATGGCAGCCTGTGAGAATGGCAGTGTGGAGACGGTGGAGGCCCTGGTTCACGGCGGGGCCAAGGTCGGCCTTGTGGATGCCACCGGCCATGATGCAGCTCACTATGGCGCGGCCACCGGCAATGCCCTCATCCAGCACTACCTGCAGGAGGCCGTCCAGCGCCATTCCTGGGCAAGCGGTAAGGCTGCGGGGTCCTCTCCCTGCTTCTTGGGGGGTGGCGGGCACTCCCCCGTTGCTTTTGTGATGCCGGACGATGCCGCACGCTCCTCATCTTGGCTTCCATTTCCTTTTTGCAGAAGAATCCACTGATCTATCCTCACAGGTAACTTCCATTTAACCCCTGGATTCCGAGACCAAGAGGCTGATCAAGTATCTCCGAATGCCGCCTTCTCTCCCTCTCATCATACTTTCTCTCCCCCTCATGCCCTCCTTTCTTTCTCCCTTTATCTTCTGTTTCCTTTCTCTGCTTCACTCTTTCTCTTCTTCCTTCTTCTGTCCCTCCTTCTTTCTCTCTTTTCGTTTCTTTTCCTTTATATATCCCTCTCTTTTCTCCCTTTCCCTTTCTTTTCTTATGCCGTTCTCCCTCTACTTCCTTCCATCTGCCATTCCCTCTTTTTCTTCATTCCTTCTTTTCCATCCTCTCTCTTTCTTTATAACTCCTTCCTTCCTTCCTTTTTTCCTCCTTTCTCTCTTTCCCTCCTTTTTCTCCTCTTTCTTACGTCGTTCTCCCTCTCCTTCCTGCCTGCCCTTCCTTCTTTCTCTCTCTTCCTTTCTTTCCTCTATCTTTATACTCCCATTCTTTCCTTCCTTCCTTTCCCCTTTCTCTTTCCCTCCRTTTCTTTTTCTTCCACCCTTTTCTTTTCATATGTCATTCTCCCTTCCTCCTGCCCTTCCCTCTTTCTCTCTCTTTCTTTCCTTCTTCTCTCTATCTTTATACTCCTTCCTTCCTTTCCCCTTTCTCTCTTTCTCTCCCATTCCTTTTTTTCCACCCCTTTCTTTTCTTTTGTCTTTCTTCCACCCCTTCCTTCCTCCCACCTTGCCTTCTTTCTCTCCTTTCCATACCRCTTTCTCTTTCTCCCATTCTTTCTTGTTCTTTATACCCACTCTCTTTCCTTCCTTTCTCTTTCCTCTCTTTCCTTTTCTTCTGTCCCTTTCTTTTTTTATGTCGTTCTCACTCTACTTCCTCCCTCCTGCCCTTCCCTCTTTCTCTCTCTTCCTTCCCTTCCACTCTTTATACCCCTTCATTTTCCTTCCTTCCTTCCTTTCGTTTTCTGCTGTCCCTTTCTTTTCTTATCTCATTCCTTCTCTCCTTCCTTCCTTCCTTCCTTCCTTCCTTCCTTCCTTTCTTCTTTCCCTCCCTCTCTTTTCAGGCCTCCTCTCCTGGGCAATCTCTGGCCAAAGGGAAGAACAACAGTCCCAGAAAAAGGAAGGCTCCACCTCCACCTTCCGGCAACTCCAGCCAGGTAGGAAGCATGGGGATAGTAGCCTTGTGTTGGAAACAAATCAGGGAGGCAGCTTTGGATCATTCCTCCTTCCTTCCTTTCTTCCTTGTGTTCCCTATACCAGCCGACTTCCAACCCTCATGATGATCAAGGCACTTCTTCGGCAGAACGGAGCCACCGAGTGATCACGGCCAAGCCAGCAAGGATGCATCATTCCCCCATTGTAGCTGAAATGGTGAGGATCGGCCATCTGTCAGGAGTGCTTTGATTGTGCTTTCCCTCCACGACAGAAGGCGATTGAACTGGATGACCCTGGGGATGTTCCTATTATTATTATTATTATTATTATTATTATTATTACAAAGTCTGAATGGCCATCTTTTGGAGGTGCTTTGATTGTGCTTTTTCTGCATGGCAGAAGGAGGTTGGACTGGGTGGCCCCTGCAGTTGCGCCTATTATATATATATAATTTCTAGGAGGACCGGGAAGCCTATGAGGAAATTGTAAGGCTGCGTCAAGAGAGGGCTCAGTTCCTGCAGAAAATCCGCAGCTTGGAGCAACAGCAGGAGAAGCTGAAACAAGAGGTAGGTCAACACTGGACAAAGAGAGTTTCCACCCAGTTGGATGGCATATGTGTGCCCTTACGACCCTGAGAAAGAAGTCCAATTTGGCTGGCATAATGCAAACATTGATCATTAAATGAATAAATAAATATCATGTAGTTTGTTGTTGAAGGCTTTCAAGGCCGGAATCATTGAGTTGGTGTGAATTTTTTGGGCTGTATGGCCATGTTCCAGCAGCATTCTCTCCTGATGTTTCACCTCCATCTGTGGCTAATTACATCATCAGAGGATTTGAAGGTGGTCAAGCAAGTGAGGTATCTATCTATCTATCTATCTATCTATCTATCTATCTCTGTGTTTTATGCAAGCGTGAATGTTGCAATTAGCAAGCTTGATTAGCATTGAGTAGCCATGAAGCTGCAAAGTCAATCAGTGAGGGTCCCTGCATAGAGGTAGAGAAGCAAGTGGAGTGTATATGTATATCAAGGGTGGGAGAAAGAACCCTTGCTTATTTAAAGCAAGTGCAGATGTTGCAATGAGCAGGTTTAATTAGTATGGAGTAGCCATGAAGCTGCAAAGTCAATCAGTGAGGGTCTTTGTGTAGAGGCAGTGAATCAAGTGGAATATATATATATTTGTGGAATGATGTCCAGCGTGGGAGAAAGAATGTCAGTCTGTTTGACGCAAGTTTGAATGTTGCAATGTGAAAGCTTGATTAGCATTGAGTAGCCATGAAGCTGCAAAGTCAATCAGTGAGGGTCTCTGCATAGAGGTAGCCTGGCTGTTTTTTCTGGAGGCACCCTTTGTTTGGGATGTGTTAACTGGCACTTGATTGGAGTTCCAGACAGCAAACAATCAATGGCCAGTGAACACCTCTCTAACAAAAGGTTCATGCAGATAAACTCGCTGATTGACTTTGGAGCTGCAAGGCTACTCAGTGCTAATCAAGCTTGCTCATTGCAATGTTCACACTTGCTTCAAATAAACAAGCATTCCTTCTCCCACCCTGGACATTATTCCACAGATATATATATATATATATATATATATATTCCACTTGCTTCACTACCTCTATGCAGAGACCCTCACTGGTTGACTTTACAGCTTCAGTCATGTTCAATGCTATTCTAGCTTGTTCATTGCAACATTCATACTTGCTTCAAACTTGGACATCATTCCATGGAGGGTGCCTCCAAGTGACAGAGCCCAGGTTGCCTCTATACAGAGACCCTCACTGATTGACTTTGCAGTTTCATGGCTGCTCAATGCTATTCAAGCTTTCTAATGGCAACGTGCACAATTGCTTCAAACACACAAAAGTTATTTTTCCCACTCTGGACATTATTCCACAGGGACACTCCACTTGCCTTACTTCCAACAGAACTTCTGAAGATGCCATTGGCCACAGATGTAAGCGAAACGTCAGGAGAGAATGCAACATGGCCATACAGCCTGGAAAACTCACAGCAGCACAGCATGTTGTTGGTTTGTTGGCCCTAACAGTGTCTTTTCTTCATTCTTTTCATAGCAACCAGGGTTGGAAGATGGTGCCTTCCATATTTTAGAGAAACAGGTGAGGTTCAGAAGGTGAAAATGCCTGTATTGCGTTAGATTTTTTTTTTATTCCCTCCTCTTGTCTTTCTTTAATATTGCTTAGAACTGAAAACCTTTCTCAATCCATGGTCCATGATAATAATAATAATAATATTATTTTATTTCCATGTACATAACAACACAGCACATATGTGTTAGGTCCAAGTGGCTGAGATTAATCTCTGAATATCGGGCTCTTTTTTTGATCATCATCATCATCATCATTATATAATTACACTCTGTAACAAAGTTTGAAAAATGTGCTTTTCCTGGTTTGAAAGTGTTATTTCCACTTTAATTGTGCGATACTTACTTCGAAAGGAGTTGTTCTACTCCAAAAACTTTGTTTTTGTGGCAGAAACTATGTTGAATTGGTTGAGATATTGGACACTCCGAGTAGCCACATACACACATACATATTTTCACTGTTATTATGTGTTTAGATAGATATACAAATAAATAATAATAATAATGTTTATTATTATTATTACTGTGTGTATTATTATTATTTACAACTACACTGCAACAAATTGTTGAAACAAGTCCTTTTATGGGCCAGGGGTTTTTTTTAATTTAAAGGGACAGTGCCCTCATTTCCCTCTCTCTGCCAAAGCACTGGAGAATCCCATCAACCCTACTGTCCATTGGGAAACATCCTTGTTCCTTGTCAACGCCAAACATCTCACATTGTCCCAGTAAACCTTTGTTCCTGAATAAAGGAATGAATGAATTGAGAAGACGCGGCTTTTTCTCTCTGCTCCATCAGGTTGAAGATCTTCAGAAACAACTGGCGGAGAAGGAAAACCAAGGCAAGGAGCTGGAGGCGCTCCGGAGCCGCCTCTCATCTTTGGAGGTCATAAAATAATAATAATAATAATAATAATAATAATAATAATAATAATAATTTTGTGTGATTGATATGAACTTGGTTCAGGCTTTAGGTGCACATAGTGATAGTAATAATGATAATTGTTGTTGTTATCATGATAAAAGCAGACAAGTAAATTCCCTGGTGAGATATCAAAGTTGAAGCAGATATATCCACCAGCAGGAGAAACTAACCTTTGGAACATGCATATTTTTTACTCTCAGATTTGTCATTCTCGAGGTAGACTTTCACCCTCCTTAAATGGAAATGATGTGGGGATTTTAACCCAGATCCTTCAGGGGAGATAAAGCAGAGTATAAATAATAATAATAATAATAATAATAATAATAATAATAATAATAATAAATAACAGCAACAGCATGCCTTGGGTTTTGCAATGCAACCATCTCTACTTTCAATCATTGCAATGCTCACCATAGTTCCTTCACAGTCCAGTTTTAGGCCTGGAACAGAGACAGCTTTGGTCGCCTTGGTGAAGGACCTCTGCAGAGAGCTAGACAGGGGGAGTGTGCCCTTGTTGGTTCTCTTGGATATCTCAGCGGCTTTCAGTACCATCGGCCATGGTCTCCTTTTGGGTCGGTTCTCCAGTATGGATCTTGGGGTCACTGCCTTGTTGTGGCTCTGCTCCTTCTTGAAGGATTGCACCCAGTTGGTGAAGTTGGGGGACATCTGCTCGGAGGACACCCCTGGCCATTGACTTGTGGGGTCCCACAAGGTTCTTTTCTATCCCCCATGCTTTTCAATATCTACATGAAACCGCTGGGAGAGGTCATCCAGAGTTTTGGAGTAGGATGCCATCTCTATGTAGATGACACACAACTCTACTATTCCTTTCCACCTCATTCCAAGGAAGCCCCCCAGATCCTGGACCAGTGTGGACTGGATGAGGGCCAACAAGTTGAGGCTTAATCCAGACAAGACAGAGGTCCTCCTGGTCAGTTGCGAGGGCAGTCAGGATCTAGGGTGGCAACCTGTGCTTGACCGGGTCACACTGCCCCTGAGGACACAGGTCTGCAGTTTGGGGGTCGTCCTGGACTTGACACTTGAAGCTCAGAAGGTGGCTGGGAGGGCCTTTGCACAGTTAAAGCTTGTGTGCCAGCTGCAACCATAGTTCAAGAAGCCTGACTTGGTCACGTTGGTCCACACCTTAGTCACACCTAGAATGGACTATTGCAAAGCGCTCTACGTGGGGCTGCCTTTGAAAACGGCTTGGAAACTGCAGTTAGTGCAAAGTTCGGCAGCCAGATTGCTAACGGGGGCTGATTATAGGGAGCACACAATGCCCCTATGAAAGCAGCTTCACTGGCTGCCATTGAGTTTCCGGGCCCAGCTCAACCTACAAAGCCCTATATGCTTCAGGTCCAACCTGTCTTTGATATCCACATCCCCTTCTATGAACCGGCGTGGGCTCTAAGATCTGCCAGGGAGTTCCTCCTCTTGGTTCCACCTCCCTCTCAAGTGCGGTTAGTGGAGACGAAGGAAAGGGACTTCTCAGTGGTGGCCCCCGGCATTGGAACGCCCTCCTCAAGGATATTAAGCTTGCCCCCACATTACAATGTTTTCACAAAGCTAATCTAAGGACCAAAGAATCTAATATTGTCACCAGCACTTTAATGGTTGAATTGGGCTGTGGCTGGGATGCTGTATTTTTTGTTTTTATGGCAATTTGTACTGTGTTTTATTGATGCTTAAATTGGATTTTTTTGTAATGTGTTGTTTTTATCTTAACTAATGTTGTCATTGTTTAATTTGTGATGTAATTTTACCTCTATTTTTATGTGTTATGGTACTTGTATGTGCTTCTGTAAGTCGCCCCTAGCCCTTCTGGGAGATGGTGGTGGAGTATAAATAAAGTTGTTATTGTATTGTCAAAGGCTTTCATGGCCGGAATCACGAGGTTGTTGTGAGTTTTCCGGGCTGTCTGGCCATGTTCCAGAAGCATTCTCTCCTGACATTTTGCCTGCATCTATGGCAGGCACCCTCAGAGGTGGGTTAAACTGAAGGCCGACAGGTCGCAGGTTCGAATCTGGGGAGAGGCGAATGAGCTCCCTCTATCAGCTCCAGCTCATCATGCGGGGACATGAGAGAAGCCTCCCACAAGGATGATAACATCAGTTCATCTGGGTGTCCCCTGGGCAACGTCCTTGCAGACGGCCAATTCTCTCACACCAGAAGCAACTTGTAGTTTCTCAAGTCACTCCTGACACGACAAAAAAAAAAATCCTCAGAGGTGGTGAGGTCTGTTGGAAACTAGGAAAATGGAGTTTATATATGTGTGGAATGTCCAGGGTGGGAGAAGGTGTTTGAGGCAAGTGTGAATGTTGCAATTGGCCACCTAGCATTTAATGCCCTAGCAGTTTCAAGGTCTGGCTTCTTACAGCCTGGGGGAATCCTTTGTTGGGAGGACATGGCATATTATTTGAGAACACAGAAATGCTGGACTACTCTAACAACTACCATGTCAGATGACACAGAGAAGCCATTGAAATCCACAAGCTTGTGAACAATTTCAACAGAAAGGAAATAACCATGAAAATGAACAAAATCTGACTACTAGTATTTAAAAAAACTCTAAAATCGTAACAGTAAATAAACACCAACACTCAAAAACAGGGGAATTCCAGACAAGAAACAATCAGGGCCAGATAATCACCTCCCAATAAAGGATGCCCCCAAGCAGTAAGAAGTCAGACCTTGAAACTGCCAGGCCATTAAATGCTAATCAAGGTGGCCAATGCAACATTTACACCTGCCTCCAATAGACAAGAGTTCTTTCTCCCACCCTGGACATTATCCCACAGATATATAAAACCCATTTTCCTGGTTTTATAACAGACCTCAAAACCTCTGAGGATGCCTGCCATAGATGCAGGCGAAATGTCAGGAGAGAATGCTTCTGGAACATGGCCATACAGCTGGAAAAATCACAATGACCCAAAGTTGTTGTTGTGTTATTGTTATTGTTAGAAACTGTGGGATTCCTCATCCTAGCTGTTGCTTCCTTTTCATGTCTTTCTACAGAATGAGAAGGAGAACACCAGCTACGACATCGAGACGCTGCAAGATGAAGAAGGCGAGTTGCTGGAGTTTCCAGGTAGGATAATAAAAAGGAAAAGAAGGGATCGACGTTCCCAAGTTGTCATGGTTTTGGGTTGGCTGGACTGTGCCTCCCTTCATCTCCAGTGCTTTTCCCAATCGGCTTCTCTTCCACCAACCAGGAGCTGAGCTTTTGCTGTCCAAAAAGAGCTGGAGCGTCTCGACTGAAGACCTTTTGGCCACCTTACAGGGCCAAGTCCAGTCCCTGACTCAGAAGAATCAAGAGCTGATGGAGAAAATACAGGTTGTTACAAAGATAAACGACAATGCCTTCTTGCTTTTCCCAGCTTTGGGCATTGCAAAATCCATTTAATGCCTATAAATATCTCAACCTGAGTGCCTTTAGTGGGCTTTGAAGCATTGTGAAGTTTCGCTGAGCAGAACAAAGAGGATTCGGTCCCTTTGTTTGCTCTTTCTTCTTTGTTTACAAGCACACAAGTCAATCGACTTGGGTTTCCCAAATACATAAAAGCCAGGAGGAGACCCTAGAAGCCACTTAGTCCAACCAAATACCCATAAAGCCAAGCCTTGAAGCTGCAAGGCTATTCAATGCTAATCAAGGCGATCAATTGCAGCATTCACACTTGCCTTGAACAGGCAAGAGTTCTTTCTCCCACCCTGGACATTATTCCACAGATACATAAACCTCACTTGCCTTGTTTCCAACAGATCTCACAACCTCTGAGGATGCTTGCCATAGATGTTGGCAAAACGTCAGGAGAGAATGCTTCTAGAACATGGCCAGACAGCCCGGAAAATTCACATCAACCCATAAAGGAATTGATTATTATTCTTATTATATGTATTTATATCTCGTTTTATCTTCCCAAAGGGGACTCAAAGCAGGCTATTCTTTTATCTTACAGATTTTGTTGACTGATGCTTTATTTTAGTTTTACCTTTTTATGTATGAGTGGCCTTACAGCTACAAAGTCAATTACTGAGGGTATCTGCATAGAGGTAGTGAAGCAAGTGGAGTGTATGTGGAATAATGTCCCGGGTGGGAGAAAGAAGCCTTGTCTGTGTGAAGCAAGTGTGGCTGTTTTAATTAGCAAGCTTGGACAGCATTGTGTAGCCAGGAAGCTGCAAAGTCAATCTGTGAGGGTAACTGCAAGGAGGTAGCTTGGCCTTTATTGCCTGGAAGCATCCTCTGTTTGGGAGGTGTTAACTGGTGCTTGATTGTTTGCTGTCCTGAGTGTCTATTGACCCCTTCCTGATCGAATTGCTGGCATGTCTTCATGGGCACCTTTTAACCTCCCTGCCAAAGCGGTACCAATTTATCTACTCACATTTCTGTTTTCAAACTGCTAAGTAAGCAGAAACTAGGGCTGATGGCGGGAGTTCACCCCAACCTGCGGCTTGAACTGCCAACCTTCCTGTTGGCAAGATTTTCTGTCGCTGGCGGTTTAACCCGCTGTGCTAACCATGGCCCCATTGTTGCCTGGAGGCACCCTCTGTTTGGGAGGTGTTCACTGGCACTTGATTGTTTGCTGTCTGAGGTTCTCCTGTTTCTGAGTGGTATTCATTATCTGTCTTGATTCGTGTGTTTTTAATAATAATAATAATAGATGCACTTTAGTAGAACAAGATCGCTGCACACCGCACTTATCTAATCCTACGTTCCTCCTGCCATCTCAGCACTTTTAACCTTGTACCCATTGCTCTGGCCGGCCCAGTTTTAAAGTGTCCGACGTATTGTTACTGTTGTTGTTACTGCTTAACTATTTGATTTGCTTCTGTTTCATTGTTGTGTTATGATGTGTTGTATTGTGTTTTGAGGCTTCGGCCTATGTGAGCCGCATCGAATCCTTCGGGAGATGCTAGCGGGGTACAAATAAAGTTAATAATAATAATAATAATAATAACTTTATTTGTACCCCGCTACCATCTCCCCAAGGGACTCGGTGCGGCTTACATGAGGCCGAGCCCACAATACAACAATAAAAACAATAGCAACAGTAATACAAACAATAAATAAAACTCATAAACAGAAAATAGCAATAAACATTAACAATAACACGACGACGTTTAAAAACCCATGGCAGGGCCAAATGTACTAATTAAAAATTTAAAAAATAATGCTGGGCGTGACCAGGTGACTTATAAACAGGACAGAAATTTTGGAGAGGGATAAAGCATACAGATAATCCTAGATCACTAATAAAGTGCGTTTAGGGACATATTGCTGGGAGTTTCCTTATTCTGGGAAGGCACACTGGAACAACCACGTTTTCAGGCTCCTCCTAAAGACTGCCAGCGTTGGGGCATGTCTGATATCCCTGGGGAGTGAGTTCCAGAGTCGAGGGGCCACCACCAAAAAGGCCCTGTCCCTCGTCCCCACCAATCGCGCTTGCGATGGAGGTGGGATCGTGAGCAGGGCCTCTCCAGATGATCAAAGAGATCGCGTGGGTTCGTACACAGTTATGCGGTCACGCAGGTAGGCGGGTCCCAAACCGTTTAGTGCTTTGTAGGTAAGCACCTGCACCTTACATTGGGACCGGAAAATGAACGGCAGCCAATGCTGGTAAACAGATTTTGTTGGTTAAAACACCAGAATCAAGACAGTATCAATGAACACCACTCAGTAACAGGGGAACCTGACAGCAAGAATTACACACACACACACCACTTGCTTCGTTGCCAACAAACCTCTGAAGATGCCATTAGCTACAGATGCAGGTGAAACATCAGGAGAGAATGCTGCTGGAACATGGCCATTCAGCCCGAAAAACACACAGCAACCCTGTGGAATTGAGGGGGATGAAACAGTTGCAATAATAATAATACGAGCATCTCTTGTAGGTCTTGGAGAATTACGAGAAGGACGAAAGCGATGCGGACATGGACGCCTCTGGCGACTTCATCCCCATCATCCTGTACGATTCGCTGAGGTCCGAATTTGACCGGCTGAAGGAGCAGCATGCAGAAACCCAGTCAGTCCTGAAAGCCTTTGAGGACACTGGGTCGGAGGAGACGTCTTGCAAACTGGTTCCCGCTGAGGCTTACGAGCAGCTCAAGGCCGACTACGAGAAGCAAATCAAAGCCCTCCGGGAAGCTTTGGAGAAGACCTCGGTCAAACGGCATAGCAAAGATCATGATCCTGAAGGCAACCCTGGTTCGGGGCAGGAATCAAATGGCAAAGGAGAGGGAGAAACATTGGCTGAAGAGCTCCGATCGACGCAGGAGAAATACAGAGCAGCCATGGAGGAAGTGAAGCTCCTRCAAGAGCAGATTGCACTAGGRATCTTCTCGGTGGAAGACAAGGAGGCAGCGGAGAGCGAGACAGAGACTGTCAAAACCGCCTTGCGTCAAGCTCAGGAAGACCTCAAGGAGCGAGACCGAAAGGTGATGGATCTCGAACAACGGCTCGCTGATGAAGATTGCACTGCTGAGGAGTATGAGAAGATGAAGGCCTCCTTAGAGCAAGTCTCCAAGGAGAAGGAGGCCCTCTTGGTGCGTTGCAGCTCTGCTGAGGCTGAGATGAAGGAGTTGCGGGAGTCGTTGCAAGAGCTTGAAGAGGTCCAAGGGAGCGCAACAGAGAGCCTCCGGGAAGAAGCCAGTGCATTAAAGCAGCAATTGGAGGATGCGATGAAGKGGCGAGAAGGCGCTGAAGCCCAGGCAGCAGGTCTCAAAGAAAGACACCAAGCCTTGGAGAAGGAGCTGAACGCCACCAAGGAGCGGGTGGCTTCTGAGTTCGTGCCCAAGTCAGAGCACGAGGGGACAGTGAAGGAGCTCAAGGATGCCCTTTCCACAGCAGAAGGGAAACTGACGGACCTGATGGCGCAGCATGATTCGACCCAAAAGGAGTTGGGGGAGATCCAGGCACGGGCAGAGAGCTACCGCCGGGAGTCGGTACCCCTCGCGGAGCACAACCGGGCCAAGGAAGCGTTGGAGGGCACCTTGTGGGAGCTGAAGGCCAAGTCCAAGCTGCTGGAGCAAGAGCTGAAGGCCAAGGCGCAGGAGGCCGCAGGGCTGCAGAGCCAGCTGGAGGAGGTCCGCCAAGGTGCGGTGTCCAAGGAGTCACACGAGCGGCTGAGGGCCAGCCTCCAAGGGGAGATCGAGGCCCTCAGCGCTAAGTTGGGCGAGCTAGAGCACAAGCATGAACGCACCTGTACGGAGGTCTTCCAGGTGCAGCGGGAGGCCCTCTTCATGAAGAGTGAGAAGCACGCGGCTGAGGCACAGCTGGCAGCCGCCGAGAAACAGCTGCAGGGCCTGCGGGCCGAGTCGGCTCGGATCCAGGAGCTGCACAGCCACATCGAGGATTCAGCCAAGCTGGTCAAGGAGAAGGACAAGAAGGTATCCCTTTCCTAACAACTAGGGCTGTGCAGTTATCGTGCAAACGAATCACTACTAAGAAACATGCAAAGGGGGGGGGGGGGGATTTCAGAATCAAAACATCACGAGGAGAGGAAAGCAGCAGGGTGGGACAAGCTGAGTGAGCTGGGAAAGAGACAGAGAGAGCACAGAATTCTGGGAAATGTAGTCTGAGAAGGTGAGGCCCCCTGTGGGAGGGAATACAAAAGACCCTGTCCTAAACTACATTTCCCAGAATGCAGTACTGGACATCAGAAAGACCAATTAGGGCTGTAGCAGCCAGCCAGCCATTTAGAGTCAGTCTAATAATAATAATAAATAAAATTATTGAATCTGCAAAGAGGACTAAAGTTAGTAAATAATAGTATAAATCAATGCCAAGTTGAAGTTCTGTGGTTAATTGTGTGAAATTGGCTAAAAGACTCCATTCACTTTCTACTGCACACCCCATTCACCTCCTGCCTCCGACTCCCCACAGATCACCGAACTTTCGAAGGAAGTCTTCAAGTTGAAAGAAGCGCTCAATGACCTCTCCGAGCTCTCGGGTGCAACGTCTCCCAAAGCATCTTCGCCACAGAAGGCAGAGAACCGCCATGAAGCTGGCGCCCTCCAGGGCAAAGTGAAAGATCTGGAGCAACAGTTGGCAGTGAGTATTGTATGCTAAATATGTTCCTTGAGTAGCCCACTAGATGGGCATCTTGCCACCTTGATGTGTCTAGACCAGGCATGGGCAAACATGGGCCCTCCAGGTGTTTTGGACTTCAACTCACACAACTCCTAACAGCCTAGTGCAGGGGTAGGGAACCTTTGGCCCTCCAGCTGTGGTGGACTTCAACTCCCACAATTCCTTGAGGCTCGGCATTCGCCCCAAAGGCTTACCTTGGCCCAATGCCGAGCCTCAAGGAATTGTGGGAGTTGAAGTCCACCACAGCTGGAGGGCCAAAGGTTCCCTACCCCTGGCCTAGTGGCTGTTAGGAATTGTGAGAGTCGAAGTCCAAAACACCTGGAGGGCCCAAGTTTGCCCATGCCTGGTCTAGAAGTAGGAAGCTCTAGGAACAAGGTGTCCTTCCAAAAACAGGATGTCCCTCAGCAGAGGAAGCTAAAAGACTTGCAGGGTTGACAAAGGGAGCACCATTTTTGGGTAGACTGATCTCCTAGGAGAAACAACACACTGGATGTTGAATTCCACATGTTCCAATGCACCAGATAGAGAAGTATTTTGCTATGAATGTTCTGAAATAAAGCTATCTATCTATCTATCTATCTATCTATCATCTAGCTTGCTAACTGGCTAGTTATATCAATCTATCAACTAGTCCATCCATCATCTTTCCTTCCATATGCCCATCATCTATCTATCTGTCCATCTATCCATCCATCATCCATCCTTCTATCCCATCTATCCATCTATCTGTCCTTCTATCCATATATCTATCCATCTATCCATCCTTCTATCCATCATTCTATCCATATATCTATCCATCTATCTATCCTTCTATCCATCCATCCATCCATCCATCCATCTATCCGTCCATCTATCCGTCCATCTCTCTGTCCATCTAGCCACCTATCCATCCATCTGCCCATCTATCTATCCATCCGTCATACATCCATCTGTCCATCCATCCATTTGTCCATCTATCTATCCATCCATCAATTTATCCATCCGTCCGTCAGACCACCCATCTATCCATTTATTCAGCCTTCCATTCAATTACACTATGTAACAAAATTTGAAAATGTTCCTAGTTTAAAAGTATTTTTCCTGTTTAATTGTGCAGTCCTTTCTTTGAAAGTTGTTCTACTCCAGAAACTTCGTTTTTGTCGCTGCCACAAATGATGTTGAATTTGTTGACACTCGATGAAAGATTCATTGAAAAACTATAGCAAAATGTGCTGTAGGATGTCCTGCAAAAACAAAGTTTTTGGAAGTTTAATAAACCTTTCCCATCTTTTTATAATAGTACCAATTAGGAAATGACATTGGTAACCCAGGAACAAAAATTGTGTTATATAGTGTTATCCATTTATCCATCCAACTATCCATTCATCCATTCAGCCACCTGACAATCCTTAAATCCATCCATCTATGCATTAGCTCAGCCAAGGAAGAATATTTTTGCCACTTGACAAGATCTGTCTGTCTGTCTGTCTATCTATCTATCTCTATCAACAAGCAATGACCTTATATGACATCGGCCAGCAAAACCGCCTGTTCCACGTGGCGACTCTCTGCAAGTGACGTCATAGGCCCGCAAATCTTTTGCTGAGCATCCCAGCTCCATAATTAATTTGGGAGATGAAGATTAATTTGGTGGATGTTGAGTAAGCATTCAGCTGAGTAATCTGGTTTCCCTGGATTAATTCCAAAGCATGCTTCGATGCATCTGTCTGCTCCTGATGCTTGCTCTCTGTTGAACGCTCTCTGGTTTGATGAGAAAGCTGGATTCTTTTTTTTTCCTTCCTAGAAATGCCCAATTGTTCTTTACTGCAACCATTTTTTGGGTTCATTGCCACTACACAGATGGACAACCAAACAGAAAAGTTGGCATGTGATGATGATGCAAAGCCACTTCAGAGTGAGGGCTTCCAAAGAGTATTGGCATCCCATATCACCAATGAAGGGTCTTTTGCCTTTAGATTTGATGATGATGATGATGATGATGATGATGCAAAGCCAATTCCGAGTGAGGGCCACCAAAGCGTATAGGCATCTCATGCATGATGCAAAGCCAATTCAGAGTGTGACCCACCAAAGAGTATTGACATATCATGCTACCAACGAAGAGTCTTTTACCTTTAGATTTGATGATGATGATGATGATGATGATTATTATTATTATTATTATTATTATTATGCAAAGGCAATTTGGGGGTGAAGGCTATAAAAAATGTTGGCATCTCATATCACCAACAGAAAGGTCTTTTACTTTTAGATTTGATGATGATGATGATGATGATGATGATTATTATTATTATTATTTATGCAAAGCCAATTCAGAGTGAAGGCTTCCAAAGAGTATAGGCATCCCATGTCATCAATGAAGAGTCTTTTGCCTTTAGATTTAATGATGATGATGATACAAAGCCATTCTTCTTCTTCTTCTTCTTCTTCTTATTATTATAATACAAAGCCAATTCAGAGTGAAGGCTTCCAAAGGGTACAGGCATCCCATGTCACCAATGAAGAGTCTTTTGCCTTTAGATTTCATGATGATGATGATAATGATGATGATACAAAGCCCTCATTCTTCTTCTTATTATTATTATTATTATTATTATACAAAGCCAATTCAGAGTGAAGTCTTCCAAAGGATATAGGCATCCCATGTCACCAATGAAGAGTCTTTTGCCTTTAGATTTCATGATGATGATGATGGTGATGATGATACAAAGCCCTTCTTCTTCTTCTTCTTCTTCTTCTTCTTCTTCTTCTTATTATTATTATTATTATACAAAGCCAATTCAGAGTAAGGGCTGCCAAGGAGTGCTGGCATCTCATGCTACCAACAAAGGGTCTTTTCCCTTTAGATTTGATGATGATTATGAACTATGTTTTCCATTCCATCCTCTATCTGAAGAAGAGGTAGCTTCCATTTCAGTAGATGGAAGTGATCAACCAATCAAGACTCTGATTGGGTTCACCAAGTCAATTCCAAGCAAGGGCCCCAACAAAGTCGATTCTCAATGTGGACTAATTCCAAATTTAGAAAGTTTGGAACCAGTTGCTCTTTTAGGATCCAGTAATCTTATTATACATACAGTGTTGAGTTCACCATGTCAGTTCCGAGAAAGGGCCCCAATGAAGCCAATTCCGAGTTAGGGCTGATCCCAAATTTAGAAAGTTTGGAATTTGTTGCTCTTTTAGGATCCAGTCATTTCTGTCTGTAAAAGCCGGCGGACACAATTCTACCCTCCCGTTTCAGTCATCTCTCTCTCTTTTGTTACAGGAAGCGGAACGGCGCCACAACAATATTGTCTCACTCTACCGGGGCCACCTCCTCTATGCCATCCAGGTGGGTCAATGCGAGAGGAAGACATTCCAGCTTGTAGGGTGAAACGTGTTAGGTAGTTTTTTAAAAGGCATTTTAAAAGTTAAATCAGCACCAACAGCATGGCAACAGCTGCATTAGTTTAGCAGATCAGAAGCAGTATTTATTTATTGTGTCAGAAGCAAACAGAATACAATTATAACGTATGGGGGGGGGGGGGGAAACCACAAACAAAGTTAAAAACTTGGCATTATAATAGATTTCCTTTGACCAGAAGCTGTCCACTTGGAGTGCCCCTGGTGTCGCTGTAAGAAGGTCCTCCATTGTGCATGTGGCACGGCTCAGGCTGCATTGTAGTTGGTGGTCTGTGGTTTGCTCTTCTCCACACTCGCATGTCGTGGACTCTACTTGGTAGCCCCATTTCTAAAGATTGGCTCTGCACTTTGTGATGCCAGAGCGCAGTCTGTTCAGTGTCTTCCAAGTCACCCAGTCTTCTGTGTGTCCAAGAGGGAGTTTCTCATCTGGTCTCAGCCACTGGTTGAGGTTCCAAGTTTTTGCCTGCCACTTTTGGACTTTCACTAGCTGAGGTGTTCTGCGAGTGTCTCTCTAGATCTTAGGCAGCTGTTTCTTGATTTAAGGCATTGCTGTGCTAGCTAATATCCAAACAGAGGATGGGCCTGAGATGTCAAAGCCTTGGTCCTTTCTTTATTGGCTGCTACTTCCCAACGAATGTCAGATGGTGCAATGCAGGGCATAGACATCCTGTGATAATGCAGTATGTCTCATTAAGAGCCACATCCACTGTTTTAACGTGGTGAAATGTATTTTGCAGTGGGCATGCGTATTCAGCAGCAGAGTAGCCAAGCGCAAGGGCAAATGTCTTCACTGTCTCTGGTTGTAATCCCCAGGTTGTGCCAGTTAGCTCTCATAAGATGTTATTTCTAGCACCCACTTTTGGCCTGATAGTCAAGCAGTGTTTCTTATAAGTCAGAGCACGGTCCAGAGTGACTCCCAGGTATTTGGGTGTGCTGCAATGTTCCAGTGGGATTCCTTCCCAGAGCTCTAGATGCTTGTCTGTTCTTAAGATGAAAGGCACACATCTGCAATTTAGATGGTTGTAACAGGCAGGAAACCCACCTAAAGCTTTGAAGAATTTCTATTCAACCATTTCAAAGCTCCCTGCTTCAGGAGTGATGGCATGATCGTCAGCATAGATGAAACTCTCTGAAAGCTCCAGGAGTTACAAGAGCAGAGTCAAGCTTTAAAAGTTATAAAAGACTTCATTCCAAGAACTATATTTCTAGATCGGAAATTTAGGGCATAGTTATCTAACTACCTCTCTCTTTGGAGATCTCTGGACTCTCTCCAGGCTCATGGGAGAAGAACAAATGAGGCAGTTTAGCAGAGCTGAAGCTTCTTGAGGATAGTGGTAGAACAAAGGAGCTTTATTATTATTATATCCCAGCAGGGTGATGTAGTTGGGGAGTAAAATGGTCACAAAGCAAGGCCAAACAAACAAACAAACAAAAATCTTTATGTATTGTCGAAAGCTTTCATGGCTGGAATCACTAGGTTCTTGTGGGTTTTTTCGGGCTATACGGCCATGTTCTAGAGGCATTTCTCCTATGCCTCTAGAACATGGCCCTATAGCCCGAAAAAACCCACAAGAACCTAAAAATCTTTATTATGGTCATAGACCAGCATAAGGCCATAAATCTTCTCATAGGCAATGGGAATAAACGAGGAGGCAGATTAGCTAGCACTGACATAATGAGCTTAAAACAGATATGCTCCAGCAATAAGGATAATATAATGACCTGATGGCACATGTTCAGGGAGAGGGAAATGTTTTCTCTGGGAAATGAAAGTTAAATCATCTATATAAACAGAAGCTGGACCGAGGAGTAGGTGTGGCACTTCTATTTGTTTATAAAGCTCATCACCAGGAGTTTATCTGATCAAATAAACTCACTAAACAGAGCTCTCCTGTCTCTAGTGGCTATTTGGGACTTGGATCCTAGAAATCCTTACCAGCTGGCTGTCCGGCAGATGGGAGACAGATATGGATAATTTCAGTTCTTCTTAGGATGGTGTCTTCAGTCTTGGCCACAATTTCCTTCAATCTCCTTGGCCTTCAATCACACAATTTCATTCAATCCACACATTACATGGGTGTGTTCTCATCTCCCTTCCAGGGCCGCATGGACGAAGATATCCAACGTATCCTCTTCCAGATTCTGAAGATGCAGCGGCTCCAGGAGCAAGGGAGATGAGATGCAGGACGGAGGACCTACAAGGGAATGGATACACAACAGAGAACATCTTGAGACATTTCCTCCTCTGTCCTCACCCAGAGTTCGGCGCAGGACGACTTCGTTCCTTCCAGCTCACCAAAGTTATGGGTATTCCAAACCGCTGGATGTTGTTGACTTTGCTCTTCTTCTTCTCCAAAGCCCAGAAGGATGCTGCCGACTACGTTGCCCTCCACTGGATGTCTGTGTTTCGGGGTCTACATAAGGGACAAGTCAATGGCAACTAGATTCAGTAGTGGGCTGTCCATTCTTTCCTCCATACCATATTGTTGTATGAGTTATGGCCAACTCTTTCTCTGCAACACTTGCTTTGGGTCTTCTCTCCTACCAACTGTCCTTCTGGGACAACAATGGAAGAAAATAACCCAAATTTCATCATTGAAAACAGCACTGTGAATCTTTAATATGGCCATCTACCTATATCTGATAAGAATATACAGGGTGTCCCAAAATTGTGTACACACTTTAAAAGCTGATAGCTCAATGGATGTTTCCCCCTGCCCCAGGTTTAACCCTTTTGAATTAATAATGGAAGTCAGGCTAAGCTTTGAACAAAGGAAATTCATTTTGAAATGTTTCTGGAAGTGTGAAAACGTAGCTAAGTGCAAAGGCAGTTGAGGAGGGATTCAAATGGATCTCTCATTCGACTCGTGGTAACAAGTCATGTTGATGGATGGAGCTCTTTGAAACTTCCTCCTCAACTGCCTTTGCACTTCAGCTACATTTTCACACTTCCAGGAGCACTTATTTATCTCTTTGTTTAGGAATTTAAAGCTGTTGTCAAGTATCTTGTCCTTATGGCTGGGGAAATGCTGTACTCAGAAGAGTGGCAACTCTTTGCAATCCTCTGTCCGTTTTGCCTAAAGAAAACTCCACTGAACTCACTGGGGCTTACTCCCGAGTAGATAGAGACACACTTAGGTTTGGGCTGTATATATAAAACTCCTGGAGAAAACGGTGCTGTGAAGCTTCTTGCGACAAAACTTGAATAAACGATCAATGCCGGCAATTGTCTGTGTTCATTTGTGGGCGAAATAAGGGAATGATCCAAGGTCAGGAAACTATGAATCCCACTTGAGAAGGTGAAGAAGGGTCTCAATATTTGCAGAATGATATTAAATTTAAAAAATGATGCATGTTATTAGCTGGCTTGAGTCAATTGTCAGGAGAAAGGGCAGATAAAATAATAATAATAATAATAATAATAATAATAATAATAATTTATGTTATATTTATTATTATTATTTTACTGACACAAAGACAGAGTATGTCACAGCAAATGAGATATATATGGTGGATTTCGTATCACAAAATCACAAGTCAAACATTTCCCAAGCGTCTAGAACTGTGTGATGTATTTTCGAATGATGCGTGCAGATCCAAGTAAGGTGGCCTTTTGCAGTTGACACTCCCCGATGATTGCCACCTTGTTGTGGTGGGGGGCTTAACTGCTCCAAGGATGCTGATAGCTGTGCTGGCGGTAGTGTAACTACCAGCAGGTCCAACCAAACCAGAGAGGTCTCTGATGAGTGGAACCAAGAGCACCTAACCCATTAGCATTATGGAGAAGCACACCAAAACGAAGTCTATACTGGCTCGGTCAACACCCAGGATAAAAAGGACCGCGGTGGATGCTGCTGATTCTGGACATCCATCGACAAGTGGGCTACAGAATCAAAATACAAATGAACAATCACAGAAGCGGCAGAAATATACAATGACAGAAAACCACACAGTTGTTGTTGTTGTTGTTATTATTATTATTATTATTATTATTATTATTATGTTTTAGATTATTTTAGATTATTTCCTATTATTTTATATATATTATTGTTATTATTTTTTATATTATTGTATATTAATATATATTATTTCATATTATTTTATATTATTATTTTATATTATTATATTATTTATGTCCCACACATAATTTAAAAGATACAAATATACAAAAATTAAAACATAATTAAACACAAACAGCAGTTAAAAATTCAATTAAAACCCAACAAACATACTCAAACCACAGCCATTATTTCACATTATTATTTATTATTATTTCATATTATTATTTAATATTATTATTTATTATTATTTCATGTTATTATTATTCATTATTTCATATTATAATAATATTATTGTATATTATTATTATTTGATGATAGTGTATATTATTATTTACTGAATATTCATTATTATTTTTATATTTATTTTTATATTATAACTTCATGTTATCATTTTATATTTATTATATATTATTAATATTATTTAGTATTATTAATTTATATTACTGTATATCATTTCACATTATTATATTATTATTATATATTATTGTTTTAGATTATTATTATGTTTTAGATTATTTCATATTATTTTATATTATTATTGTATATTATTATATTATTTATGCCCCACACATAATTTAAAATATACAAATATACAAAAATTAAAACAGAATTAAACACAAACAGCAGTTACAAAATTCAATTAAAAACCATCAAATATACTCAAACCACAGCAATTATTTCACATTTATTATTTCATATTATTATTTCATATTATTTAATATTATTTTATAATTTCATATTATTCTTCTTCATTATTTCATATTCATTATTCATATTATTTGCAAAGATTACTGCAGACGCAGAGTGCAGCCAGGAAATCAGGAGATGCTTACTTCTTGGGAGGAGGGCGATGTCCAATCTCGATAAAATAGTGAAGAGTAGAGACATCACACTGGCAATGAAGATCCGCATAGTTAAAGCAATGGTATTCTCCATAGTCACCTACGGATGTGAGAGCTGGACCATAAGGAAGGCTGAGCAAAGGAAGATAGATAGTAGAGGCCAAGATGAAGTACTTTGGACACATCATGAGAAGAAGGGAAAGCTCAGAGAAGACAATGATGCTGGGGAAAATGGAAGGAAAAAGGAAGAGGGGCCGACCAAGGGCAAGATGGATGGATGGCATCCTTGAAGTGAATGGATTGACCTTGAAGGAGCTGGGGGTGGTGACGGCCGACAGGGAGCTCTGGCATGGGCTGGTCCATGAGGTCACAAAGAGTCGGAAATGACTGAACAACAACAGGAAAGATTACCAGGCCAATTAGATTTGATGTGGATACCTAGGACGGTTTTAAATGGTGTATTTTAATATTTTGATAAATGTTTTTAATGTTTATGTATGTATACAAGAATTTGTATTGAATGTTTGCCATATATATTCTGTGCTCCACCCTGTGTCCCCTTCGGGATGAGAAGGGCGGAATATAAATGTTTTAAATAAATAAATATAATAATATATTATATAAAATAATATGACTGGATTGACCTTGAAGGAGCTGGGGGTTGTGACGGCCGACAGGGAGCTCTGGCATGGGCTGGTCCATGCGGTCACGAAGATTCGGAAATGAATGAATGAGCAACATTCATATTATTATATTATTGTATATTATTATTTATTATTATTTTATATTGTATATTATTGTTTATTGTATATTCATGTTTATTATTTTATATATACTTTTATATTATGATTTCATATCATTTATTATCTATTATTATTCATATTATTATTAATTTATATTATATGTATATCATTTCACATTATTATTATATTATTAATTTATATTCTTTCATGTGATCATTTTATATTTGTGATTATAATATTTCATATTATTACTGTATATTATTATTTCATATGATCCTTCTATATTTATTACATTATCATTTTATACTTATTATTTTGTATTATCATTTTATCTTTATTATGATATTCTGATTCTTGAGGCCTGGACTTGGGGTGAGAGGCTGGAGAGAATATGCCATTTATTTAAATATCGTGTGATCAGCAACCAGACATTTGTATTACATTTTTAACAAAAACAAACAAACAGACAAAACACAGAATTTGCAAGCTTGGTAGTTGATTAAATGTCCGTTGACCAGTAGCTGGCCACTTGGAGTACCTCTGGTGTTGCCGCAAGGAGGTCCTCCATTGTGCATGTGGCAGGGCACAGGTTGCATCGCAGCAGGTGGTCAGTGGTTTGTTCTTCTCCATACTCGCATGTCATGGATTCCACTTTGTAGCCCCATTTCTGAAGCTTGGCTCTGCTTCTCGTGGTGCCAGAGCGCAGTTTGTTCAGCGCCTTCCAAGTCGTCCAGTCCTCTGTGTGCCCAGGGGGGAGTCTCTCATTTGGTATCAGCCATTGATTGAAGTTCTGGGTTTGAGCCTGCCACTTTTGGACTCTTGCTTGCTGGGGTGTTCCAGCAAGTGTCTCTGTAGATCTTAGAAAACTATTTCTTGATTTAAGTCGTTGACGTGCTGGCTGATACCCAAACAAGGGATGGGCTGGAGATGTCACTGCCTTGGTCCTTTCACTATTGGCTGCTACTTCCCGGCGGAAGTCAGGTGGTGCAATACCAGCGAGACAGTGTAATTTCTCCAGTGGTGTAGGGAGCAGACACCCCGTGATAATGTGGTATGTCTCATTAAGAGCCACATCCACTGTTTTAGTGTGGTGAGATGTGTTCCACACTGGGCATGCATACTCAGCAGCAGAGTAGCACAGCGCAAGGGCAGATGTCTTCACTGTATCTGGTTGTGATCCCCAGGTTGTGCCAGTCAGCTTTCGTATGATATTGTTTTTAGCACCCACTTTTTGCTTGATGTTCAGGCATTGCTTCTTGTAGGTCAGAGCACGGTCCAGAATGACTCCCAGGGGGACATAAGAGAAGCCTCCTCGCAGGATTGCAAGACATCCGGGCGTCCCCTGGGCAACGTCTTCGTAGACAGCTGATTCTCTCGCTCCAGAAGCGACTTGCAACATGCAAGCAAGCAAGCAAAACAACCAACGGACCTTTTCAGGACCAACCATGACAATAATCTCAATCAACATTGAAGGCATGTCAGCTGCCAAAGAGCAATTGCTATATGAACTGTGCCGAGATAAGAAATGCGATGTGCTGTTTGTCCAAGAAACACACAGGGATGAACAACAAAAACAACCAAAAGTTCCAGGAATAGTCTCAGTAGTGGAAAGACCACATGCGCAGTATGGAAGCGCTGTCTTTGTAAAACCAGGCCTCCAAGTCAGCAGTGCCCACAACACTGAAGAAAACAATATAGAGGTTATAACAGTAGAGCTTAATAACATCACCATCACCTCTGTGTTGTTGTTGTTCATTTGTTCAGTCGTCTCTGACTCTTCGTGACCTCATGGACCAGCCCACGCCAGAGCTCCCTGTCGGCCGTCACCACCCCCAGCTCCTTCAAGGTCAGTCCAGTCACTTCAAGGATGCCATCCATCCATCTTGCCCTTGGTCGGCCCCTCTTCCTTTTTCCTTCCATTTTCCCCAGCATCATTGTCTTCTCTAAGCTTTCCTTTCTTCTCATGATGTGGCCAAAGTAATTCATCTTTGCCTCTACTGTCCTTTCCTCCAATGACCAGTCAGGCTTTATTTCCTGGAGGATGGACTGGTTGGATCTTCTCACTGTCCAAGGCACTCTCAGAACTTTCCTCCAACACCACAGTTCAAAAGCATCGATCTTCCTTCGCTCAGCCTTCCTTATGGTCCCGCTCTCACATCCATAGGTTACTATGGGGAACACCATTGCTTTAACTATGTGGATCTTCCTTCCTAGTGTGATGTCTCTACTCTTTACTATTTTATCGAGACTGGACATCACTCTCCTCCCAAGAAGTAAGCGTCTTCTGATTTCCTGGCCACAGTCTGCATCTGCAGTAATCTTTGCACCTAGAAATACAAAGTCTGTCACGGCCTCCACGTTTTCTCCCTCTATTTCCAGTTGTCAATCATTCTTGTTGCCATAATCTTGGTTTTTTTATGTTTAGCTGCAACCCAGCTTTTGCGCTTTCTTCTTTCACCTTGATTAGAAGGCTCCTCAGCTCCTCCTCACTTTCGGCCATCAAAGTGGTGTCATCTGCATATCTAAGGTTGTTAATGTTTCTTCCAGCAATTTTCACCCCAGCCTTGCATTCGTCAAGCCCCGCACATCACATGATGTGTTCTGCATACAAGTTGAATAGGTTGGGTGAGAGTATACAACCCTGCCGTACGCCTTTCCCAATCTTGAACCAGTCTGTTGTTCCGTGGTCAGTTCTTACTGTTGCTACTTGGTCCTTGTACAGATTCCTCAGGTGCCCAGACCAACAAGAACTTGCCACAATTTATTATGATCCACACAGTCAAAGGCTTTAGAGTAGTCAATAAAACAGAAATAGATGTTTTTCTGAAACTCCCTGCCTTTCTCCGTTATCCAGCGGAGATTGGCAATCTGGTCTCTCGTTCCTCTGCCTTTTCTTAAACCCAGCTTTTCTAAACCTCTGTGTGTTGTTCATTCGTTCAGTCGTCTCCGACTCTTCGTGACCTCATGGACCAGCCTACGCCAGAGCTCCCTGTCAGCCGTTACCACCCCCAGCTCCCTCAAGGTCAGTCCAGTCACTTCAAGGATGCCATCCATCCATCTTGCCCTTGGTCGGCCCCTCTTCCTTTTGCCTTCCACTTTCCCCAGCATAATTGTCTTCTCTAGGCTTTCCTGTCTCCTCATGATGTGGCCAAAATACTTCAACTTTGTCTCTAGTATCTTTCCCTCCAGTGAGCAGTCGGGCTTTATTTCCTGGAGGATGGACTGGTTGGATCTTCTCGCAGTCCAAGGCACTCTCAGCACTTTCCTCCAACACCACAGCTCAAAAGCATCGATCTTCCTTCGCTCAGCCTTCCCTAAGGTCCAGCTCTCACATCCGTAGGTGACTACAGGGAATACCATGGCTTTGACTAGGCGGATCTTTGTTGCCAGTCTGATGTCTCTACTCTTCACTATTTTATCGAGACTGGACCTTGCTCTCCTCCCAAGAAGTAAGCGTCTTCTGATTTCCTGGCTACAGTCTGCATCTGCAGTAATCTTTGCACCTAGAAATACAAAGTCTGTCACGGCCTCCACGGTTTCTCCCTCTATTTTCCAGTTGTCAATCATTCTTGTTGCCATAATCTTGGTTTTTTTGACGTTTATCTGCAACCCGGCTTTTGCGCTTTCTTCTTTCACCTTGATTAGAAGGCTCCTCAGCCCCTCCTCGCTTTCGGCCATCAGAGTGGTGTCATCTGCATATCTGAGGTTGTTAATGTTTCTTCCAGCAATTTTCACCCCAGCTTTGCATTCATCCAGCCCCGCACATCGCATGATGTGTTCTGCATACAAGTTAAAAGGTTGGGTGAGAGGATGCAGCCTTGCCGTACGCCTTTCCCAATCTTGAACCAGTCTGTTGTTCCGTGGTCAGTTCTTACTGTTGCTACTTGGTCCTTGTACAGATTCCTCAGGAGAGAGACAAGGTGGCTTGGTATGTCCATCCCACCAAGAACTTGCCACAATTTATTATGATCCACACAGTCAAAGGCTTTAGAATAGTCAATGAAGCAGAAATAGATGTTTTTCTGAAACTCCCTGCCTTTCTCCATTATCCAGCGGATATTGGCAATCTGGTCTCTCGTTCCTCTGCCTTTTCTAAACCCAGCTTGAACATCTGGCAACTCTCGCTCCATGTATTGTTGGAGTCTTCCTTGCAGGATCTTGAGCATTACCTTACTGGCATGAGAAATAAGGGCCACTGTACGGAAGTTTGAGCAGTCTTTAGCATTTCCCTTTTTTGGTATGGGGATATAAGTTGATTTTTTCCAGTCTGATGGCCATTCTTGTGTTTTCCATATTTGCTGGCAAATGGCATGCATCACCTTGACAGCATCATCTTTTAAGATTTTAAACAGTTCAGCTGGGATCCCATCGTCTCCTGCTGCCTTGTTGTTAGCAATGCTTCTTAAGGCCCATTCAACCTCACTCCTCAGGATGTCTGGTTCTAATTCATTCACCACACCGTCAAAGCTATCGATATTGTTATCCTTCCTATACAGATCTTCTGTATAGTCTCGCCACCTTCTCTTGATCTCTTCAGCTTCTGTTAGGTCCCTGCCATCTTTGTTTCTTATCATACCAATTTTTGCCTGAAATTTACCTCCAATGTTTCTAATTTTCTGGAAGAGGTCTCGTGTCCTTCCTATTCTGTTGTCTTCTTCCACTTCCATGCATTGCTTATTTAAAAATAGTTCCTTATCTCTTCTGGCTAACCTCTGGAATTGCGCATTTAACTGGGCATATCTCCCCTTTTCACTGTTTCCTTTTGCTTTCCTCCTTTCTTGGGCTACTTCCAGTGTCTCAGCAGACAACCATTTTGCCTTCTTGGTTTTCTTTTTCTTTGGAACGTACTTTGTTGCCGCCTCCTGAACAATGTCGCGGACTTCTGTCCATAGTTCTTCTGGGACTCTGTTTACTAAATCTAGTCCTTCAAATCTGTTCTTCACTTCCACTGTATATTCGCTAGGAATGTTGGTGAGATCATATCTAACTGGTCTGTGTATTTTCCCTGATCTCTTTAGTTTTATTCTAAATTGGGCAATAAGAAGTTCGTGATCTGAGCTACAGTCAGCCCCAGGTCTTGTTTTCACCGACTGGATGGATGTCCGCCACCTTTGGCTGCAAAGGATGTAGTCAATCTGATTTCGGTGTTGACCATCTGGTGAGGTCCATGTATAAAGCCGTCTTTTAGGTTGTTGGAAGAGAGTATTCGTTATACACAGCGAGTTTTCCTGGCAGAATTCTATCAGCCTGCGTCCCGCTTCATTTTGTTCTCCCAGACCATGCTTGCCTGTGATCCCAGTTGTCATTTGACTTCCCACCTTGGCATTCCAGTCTCCTGTAATGAAAATAATGTCTCTTTTTGGTGTATTATCCAGTAGGTCCTGCAGATCCTCATAGAACTGATCTACTTCTGCTTCTTCAGCAGCTGTGGTTGGGGCGTATATTTGGATCACTGTAATGTTGAAAGGCTTTCCTTGCACTCGAATTGAGATCATCCTGTCATTTTTTGGGTTGTATCCAAGCACCGCTTTAGCGAATTTCTTATTAATTATGAAGGCTACTCCATTTCTTCGATGTTCCTCTTGTCCGCAGTAGTAGATCTGGTGGTCATCTGATGTGAAGTGGCCCATTCCAGTCCATTTCAGTTCGCTGACCCTCAGAATGTCTATCTTTAGTCTTGACATCTCGCCAATAACAACATCCAATTTGCCCTGGCTCATAGATCTTACATTCCAGGTTCCTATGGTGTGTTGATCTTTAGAACATCGGATTCGTCGTTCGCCTCCAGTACCATCGGCCGCTAGCCTTCCTTTCGGCTTTGAGCTAGCTGCGTCATCACATCTGGGGCTAGTTGAACTTATCCTCTGCTCCTCCCCAGTAGCATTTTGGCCATCTTCCGACCTGGGAGTCCCATCTTCCAATGGCATACCGACATATCTCTGGTTGTACTGGTCCATTTAGTTTTCTTGGCAAGGATACAGGAGTGGTTTGCCATTGCCTTCCCCAGGGATCACGCTTGGTCTGACCTCTCTGCCACAACCGTCCCGTCTTGGGTGGCCCTTCACGGTTTCGCTCATGACATCATTGAGGTGCTCAAGCTCCAGCGCCCCGACAAGGCGGTGATCCTTTCTGTGTAGAAGCCCCCAAATGAAGAGTTCTGCTTCTCCTCCCCCGAGAACTTTGACAGGCACCAAAGGGCGGCAGAATATGCCAAAGCGGCTGTGAAAGAGTTAACCCTACCTCCTGTGAGGGCAGTTCCGCCCGCTTCAAACATGGCGGCCTCGGCTTGGCAGGGCGAGAAGGGAAGGCTGTGATTGGGCCTCCCCGTAGCTCGGCTCTCCCCGCTCTCGCCCCTCCCCTCGGTTTCAAGATGGCGGCGCCCAGCTCAGCTCGCAGCGGAAGGCTTCGGGGCGGCCTTTGGACCTCCGTTTTTTTCCTCCCGCTCTTTCTTTCGGCAGCCGCGGCGGAAGAAGGCTCGGACACGGCCAGCTTCGACGTCAGGCCCGGCGGCATGGTCCACTCCTTCTCCAGGAGCCTGGTGAGGAAAAACGGGGTGGCGCCAGCTGATTGGTCGAGCTTGCTTTAGTCCCTCAGAGGGCGGACTTTCCATTGGCCTAACGGGCAGCCGGTCGGATTCCGATTGGATGCTGCAGACGAAGGAGAAGGGCGGGGAAGGCAAACGAAAGTGTATTGTCGCGGGTAGCTTTCTGTAGACCATGGGTTCGAGTGGGATGAGAAATACATCACAATAAAATATATAATAAGTAAATAATTATAGGAATATAATATAAGAAGAGAGGAAAAATACAGCATAATATCATAAAATAAGCAAGTCGTGCTAAGAATATCTTAAGAGGAAAATATATCAGAATAGAATATAATAACTAAATATTTTACTTAAATTATTTTATTCTATTATGATATCATATTATGATGTCTCTACTCATAATATGATATCATAATGGAATAAAGTAATTTAAGTAAAATATTTAGTTATTATATTCTATAACCTCAACTATGAGAGACAACATGAGAAAACACATCCAGAAAATCACATTGTCTGATTTTTAACGAATTTATTTGCAAATTGTGGTGGGAAATCAGTATTTGGTCCATAACAAAAGTTCATCTCAATACTTTGTTATATATCCTTTATTGGCAATGACAGAGGTCAAACGTTTTCTGTAAGTCCTCACAAGGTTGGCACACACTGTTGCTGGTATGTTGGCCCATTCCTCCATGCAGATCTCCTCAAGAGCAGCGATGTTTTGGGGCTGTCGCTGGACAACACGGACATTCAACTCCCTCCAAAGGTTTTCTATAGGGTTGAGATCTGGCTAGGCCACTCCAGGACCTTGAAATGCTTCTTACGAAGCCACTCCTTCGTTGCCCTGGAGGTGTGCTTGGGATCACTGACATGCTGAAAGATCCAGCCACGTTTCATCTTCAGTGCCCTTGCTGATCGAAGGAGGTTTGCACTCAAAATCTCACAATACATGGCCCCATTCATTCTTTCATGTGTACAGATCAGTCGCCCTGGTCCCCCCAAAGCATGATGTTGCCACCCCCATGCTTCACAGTAGGTATGGTGTTCTTTGGGTGCAAATCAGCATTCTTTCTCCTCCAAACACGACAAAGAGTTGTGTTTCTGCCAAACAGTTCTCCTTTGGTTTCGTCTGACCATATGACATTCTCCCAATACTCTTCTGGGTCATCCAAATGCTCTCTAGCAAACTTTAGTCGGCCCTGGACATGTACTGGCTTAAGCAGGGGGACACCTCTGGCACTGCAGGATCTGAGTCCCTGGCGGCATAGTGTGTTAGTGATGGTAGCCTTTGTTACATTGGCCCCAGCACTAGGTTCCCCCGTGTGGTTCTGGGATTTTTGTTCACTGTTCTTGTCATCCTTTTGACCCCATGGGGTGAGATCTTGCGTGGAGCCCCAGAACGAGGGAGATTATCAGTGGTCTTGTATCTCTTCCATTTTCTAATTATTGCTCCCACAGTTGATTTCTTCACACCAAGCTGCTTGCCTATTGCAGATTCAGTCTTCTCAGTCTGGTGCAGGGCGACAATTTTGTTTCTGGTGTCCTTCGACAGCTCATTGGCCTTCACCATAGTGGAGTTTGGAGTGTGACTGCTTGAGGTTGTGGACAGGTGTCTTTTATTCTGAGAACAAGTTCAGATAGGTGCCATTACTACAGGTAATGAGTGGAGGACAGAGGAGTCTGTCTGTGAGACCCAGAAATCTTGCTTGTTTGTAGGTGACCAAATACTTATTTTGCACTATAATTTGCAAATAAACTCGATAAAAATCAGACAGTGTGATTTGATGCCCCAGTCGCTCTCTATAACAGGGAGATGACCAGGGCAATAGACACAATCACTCTGGAGTGACCCCTCTCGAGTAGGCGAACTAAACCAGCCCCTGGGTTTAACGAGGAGCTGGCAGCGATGAAGCAAATGAAGAGGAGTCTAGACGGCATGTGGTGATTATCTTGCATCAAGTCAGACCGAGCATGGGCATGCGCCTATGCAAGGGTGTACTCCACGGCAGTGAAGACTGTACGTAAATCTCACATTGCTGCCAACATTGCGTCCGCGAGGAACCGTCCAGCTCAGCTGTTTCAAATGGTCAGAGGATTGTTGAACCCCTGATTCTTCGACAGCTCGCTGTGAGACATTTTCTCGGTTCTTCGTGGATAAAGTTGCTCTGATTCGCTCTGACTTGGACGCCACAGTTGCTGCAGTCTCTGAAGATGTAGCGAGAGCACCTGCTTATCCAGTTTTAATTGATTCATTTCAATTTGTGCAACATGAGGATGTTGACAAGATTCTTGGAGAGGCAAGGGCGACCACATGCATCCTGGACCCCTGCCCATCCTGGCTGTTAAAGGAAGCCAGAGGGGGGTTGGCAGAGTGGGTCAAGGTGATGGTGAATGCCTCCCTTCGGCAGGGCAAATTCCAGGGAGCCTAAAAGAGGCTGCGATAAAACCGCTGTTGAAAAAGCCATCACTGGAGCCCACTGATTTGAACAACTTTCGGCCAGTTTCCAAGCTCCCCTTTTTGGGCAAAGTCTTGGAACGTGTGATTGCCTCACAGCTCCAGGGGTTCTTGGACGGAACTGACTATCTGGATCCGTTACAGTCTGCTTCCAGGCCGGGGCATGGAACTGAGACAGCCATGGTCGCCTTAGTGGATGATCTCCGCAGATAGCTCGACAGGGGGAGTGTGTCCCTGTTGGTTCTCCTGGACCTCTCAGTGGCCTTCGATACCACAGACCACGGTATCCTTCTGGGGCACCTCGTGGGGATGGGTCTTGGAGGTACTGTTCTGCAGTGTCTCCAGTCCTTCCTGAAGGGTCGTACCCAGAAGGTGCTGTTAGGGGACACCTGCTTGGCCTCACAGCCATTGTCCTGTGGGGTCCCGCATATTTCAGTATTGTCCCCCATGTTGTTTAACATCTACATGAAGCCGTTGGGTGAGATCATCCGGGGTTTTGGAGTCCAATGCCATCTGTACGCAGATGATGTCTAACTCTATCACTTATTTCCACCAAATGCTAAGGAGGCTGTCCAAGTCCTGAACCAGTGTCTGGCTGCTGTGATGGTCTGGATGAGGGCAAGCAAATTGAAGTTGAATCCAGGCAAGACAGAGGTCCTCCTGGTCAGTTGCAAGGCCGAACAGGGCATAGGGTTACAGCCTGTGCTGGATGGGGTCACACTCCTCTTGAAGGCACAGGTTCGCAACCTGGGGGTCCTCCTGGACTCATCACTGAACCTGGAATCCCAGGTTATAGTGGTGGCCAGGGGAGCTTTCACACAATTAAAACTTGTGCACCAGCTGCGCCCGTACCTTGGGAAATCAGACTTGGCCACAGTGGTCCACGCTCTCGTTACATCCAGGATAGACTACTGCAACGCACTCTACGTGGGGTTGCCTTTGAAGACTGCTCGGAAGCTTCAAATAGTCCAACGAGAGGCAGCCAGGTTAATAACTGGGGCAGCATACAGGGAGCATAAAACTCCCATGTTATGCCAGCTCCACTGGCTGCCAGTTTGCTACCAGGCACAATTCAAAGTGCTGGCTTTGGCCTATAAAGCCCTAAACGTCCCCAGCCCAATTTACCTGTCCGAGCGCATCTCCCCCTATGAATCATCGTGGAGATTAAGATCCTCTGGGGAGGCCCTGCTCTCTGTCCCACCATTGTCACAGGTGCGATTGGTGGGGACGAGAGACAGGGCCTTCTCAGTCATTGATTGCCCCCCCCCACCCCCCCCCGGCTATGGAACTCCCTGACTGGCGAGATCAGATCGGCCCCCTCCCTCCTGTCCTTCAGAAGGATGGTAAAAACTTGACTGTGGGGCCAAGCTTTCGGGACAGGGCAAGAAAGCAGCGATAGGAAAGATTACCAGGTCAATTAGATTAGATGCAGATGACCAAGACGGTTTTAAATTGTGTATTTTAATATTGTGATAAATGTTTTAAATGTTTTATGTATTCGTATATGAATTCTTATCCCAGCATTGAATGTTTGCCGTATATATGCTGAGTCCCCTTCGGGTCCCCTATGTTTTAAATAAATAAAATAATTTTCTGGATGTGTTTTCTCATGTTGTCTCTCATAGTTGAGGTCTCCCTATGATGGCAATTATATGCCTCTCTCATCTTTTAAGAGGGAGAACTTGTACAATTGGTATCTGACTAAATACTTTTTTTCCCCACTGTATTTARTTAAATTACTTATTTTATTTTATTTATTTCGCACATTTGTAGCCTGTGCTTCTCACCCCCAGAGGGGGATTCAGGGCAGCTTCACAACAGGCATTCATTCAATGCCAACAACAGTAATAAATTATAAAAGCAATTTAAACATAAAATTACTAAAACATTGTTGAAATCATGTAGGTTTGAAATCATAGTCCAGGTCAGTCCATTGTCATTCACACAAATTGGGTCTCATTCTAAATTGCTGCCTCTACTGTTCGAACGCTTTGTCCCATAACCAGGTTTTGAGTTTCATTCTAAAGCACAAGAGGGAGGTGGCCAATCTAATGTCACTGGGGAGAGAGTTCCACAGGTGAGGGGCCACCATTGAGAAGACCCTGTCTCTTATCTCCACCAATTGCTCTTGCGAGGATGGTGCGACCAAGAGCAGGGCCTCTCCTGTTGATCTTAGATATCGCGATGGTTTATGACAGGAGATAGGTTTATACAGGTAAGCTGGGCCAGAACCGTTTGGGGCTTTATAGGCTAAAGCCAGCACGTTGAATTGTGCTCGGTAGCAGATTGGCAACCAGTGGAGCTGGCATAGCAGAGGAGTTGTATGCTCTCTGTATGCCACTCTGGTGAGCAACCTGGCTGCCATCCGTTGGACTAGTTGGAGCTTCCAAACAGTCTTCAAAGGCAACCCCCCATAGAGTGCGTTGCAGTAATCTATTTGGGATGTAATCAGAGCATGGACCACCGTGGCCAAGTCTGACTTCCCAAGGTACAGGTGCAACTGGTGCACAAGTTTTAATTGTGCAAAAGCTCCCCTAGCCACCACCGAGACCTGGTATATTAAAATATCATCTGGTAAATTAAAATATCATCTCAGCGGCTTTCGATACCATTGAATATGGTATCCTCCTGGGCCGTATCTCTGAGATGGGGCTGGGGGCACTGTTTTAAGGTGGCTCCGGTCCTTCGTGGAGGGCCAAACTCAAATAGTGATGCCAGGAAACTCCTTTTCAACTCCCTGGCCAGTGCCTGTAGGGTCCCTCAAGGCTCAATTTTGTCCCCCATGCTGTTTAATATTTACATGAAATTGCTGGGAGAGATCATCCGGACTTTTGGAGTTCAGTGTCAAATTTATGCAGACAACACCCAATAATAATAATAATAATAATAATAATAATAATAATAATACTTTATTTGTATTTCTCCCCGAAGGGACTCAGGGCAGATTCCAACATAACAATGGTAAACATTCAATGCCTACATAAAACACATGATACGAACATAAAATCCCAGAAAACCCCCACATATAAAAGTAACATTAAATGAAGATCTAACATCAGTAAATTAAACCTGACATCAAAAAATTAAACTACATGTATTCAGACCAAATTCTATAATAATATAAATCTAAAGAAAACATCCACATTAGTGCACAACAGCTGGCAAGGTTCACAAAATGGTGTGGGTTGGTCATGCAGTCAAAAGTGGTCATTGGGATGGTGTGGATCACCCAAATCCATTTCTCGTTTCCATCAAATACCAAAGATGCCATCCTGGTCCTAAACTGGTGCTTGTCATCAGTAATGGACTTGATGAGGGCGAACAAGTTGAAATTAAATCCAGACAAGACAGAGGTACTCCCGGTCAGTCAGAAGGTGGATCAAGGTATAGGGTTATAGCCTGTGTTGGACAGGGTTACACTCCCCCTGAAGACACAGATCCACAGTCTGGGGGTGATCCTGGACTCAGTGCTGACCCTGGAACCCCAGATGTCGGTGGTGTCCAGGATCACCTTCACACGTGTCTAAAGCGTGGCTGGTGGGAACGAGAGAAAGGCCTTCTCTGTGATCATCCCCCACCTCCGGAATTCCCTCCCTAATGAAATACAAATAGCCTCCTCCCTCCTCTCCTTCAAAAAAAGAATTAAAAATATTTCTGTACACTGGCAAATGGAGAGATGACTAGAAGTCTACATTCACTCAGCAGTCCTGTTTTGAATTTGTCACCATATTCTGACTCAGTTGGTTTTGGCTTAGTTGACTCTGCTGCTCTCACTGGCTCCATTGGCTGCATGACATTTTAGTAATGATTTTAAATGAATGTTTAATGTTTATATAATTTATATTATTATTATTATTATTATTATTATTATTATTATTATTATTATTTTAGATGTAGATTGCTTTATGTTTGTATTTATGTATTGGATCTGGCATTGAATGTTTGCCATCTTTTGTTATAATCTGCCCTGAGTCCCCTTGGGAAGTGAGGGCAGAATATAAATAAAGTATATTATTATTATTATTATTATTATTATTATTATTATTATTATTATGTATTTTTCCTCTCTTCATATATTATATTCTTATAGTTATTTACTTATATGATATTATGATGTATTTTTCTTCTCTTCATATGTTATATTCTTATTTTATTATATTATTTTATTCTTTTTTTCCCCCATAGGGAGACTACTCTTGCACTTTCACCTATGCGGCTCAAGGTGGGACCAATGAGGTAAGTCGCTTTCATAGCCTGTAATACAGGAAGGCACCGTCAAAGCCCTACCGCCACTGATATGCTTGAGATGCATAAATAGATATCTGATAGGCATTATCGTGGAATCTTAGAGTTGGAAGAGAGTCCCAAGAGCAATCCAGTCCATCTCCTATAATATAGGAAGACACCATCAAATCCCTCCCAACAGATAGCCATCCAGTCATTGATATGCTTGAGAAATATAGATAGATACGAATGAGAGATATATCTCATAGGTATATCATGGAATATGATGGGATAGGTACATCAAGGACCATCCAGTCCAATCCCATTGGGCCACAGGCACCATTCGATCCTTCCTGAGAGATGGCCATCCAGCCATAGATATAATTGACATAGATAGTGATAGACTGGATTGTGATAGATTGATAGATGATAGATAGGATTGAGATAGTTGGATACATAGATGGATGGATAATAGGTATATCATATAATCTTAGAGTTGGAAGACACACCAAGGGCCATCCAATCTAATTCCATTGGGTCACAGGCACCATTCAATCCCTCCTGACAGATGGCCATCCAGTCATAGAGTAGATGGGATATAGATAGATAGATAGATGATAGGAATATCTTATAATCTTAGAGTTGGGTGAGACCCTAAAGGGCCATTCAGTCCACACCCTGTAATACAGGAAGACACAATCAACGCCCTCTGGACAGATGGTCATTCAACCACACATGTGTTTGTTTCAAGGTCGATTACTATCTCCTTCTTCTCTTCCCAGCAATGGCAGATGAGCATGGGCACCAGCGAGGACAACCTGCTGTTTTCGTGTTCGGTCTGGAGGTCTGTATTCAATCATGGTGTGGCTCCTCGGGTGCGTCCACACTGCAGAGTTGATGCAGTCATTTCCATGGAATCCTGGGGTGTGAACTTTGGGCAGAGAAGGCAAAATGTACCTTGTCAGACTACAACTCCCGTAGCTAAAGTGGGGTCAAACTGGCTTAATTCTACAGTGTGGAATTCGTCCCCCAGATTTTCTTTCATTATATGTATTGTCGAAGGCTTTCATGGCCGGAATCACTGGGTTGTTGTAGGTTTTTTCGGGCTATTTGGCCATGGTCTAGAGGCATTCTCTCCTGACGTTTTGCCTGCATCTATGGCAAGCATCCTCAGAGGTAGTGAGATTTCTTTCATTATTTTGCTCTTTCCTTTTGCTTTGCCGCACCCAGAATAACAATAAAAAAAGATAAGGAACAGATGGAATGTGTAAAGTAGTCTCAAGCTGCGGTTTAATGGCCTGTCTTATCTTTGACAAAGCAAGAAATGGCCGTTGAATTAAACATCCTATTTTGCAGAGCCAGCTCTCTACATGCACTAGGGCTAAGGACACAGGACCAATATGAAGAATAAAAATCCACGATAGATAGATAGATAGATAGATAGATAGATAGATAGATAGATAGATAGATAGATAGATAGATGAAATATAAATAGATAGMCCTGCCTTTTATTCAATCTCTCTAGGTTCTCCAAGGCCAGCTGCAACATATAGTCTTGTCTTCCCTTCCTCCCTCCCTCCCTCTCTCCCTTCATTCTTTGCTTCCTTCCTTCTCCCTCCCTCCCTCCCTCCCTCCCTCCCTTCTTTCCTCCCTCCCTTCTTTCCTCCCTCTTACTTTATTTCCTTCCTGTCTCCCTTCCTCCTTCCTTKTTTCCTTCCTTCCTTCCTCTTCCTTCTTTCCTTCCTTGTTTCCTTCCTTCTTCCCTTCCTTCCTTTGTTCTTTCTTTCCTTCTTTCCTCCCTCCCTCTTTCCTTCCTTCCTTTTTTCCTTTCTTCTTTCCTTCCTTCGTTCTTTCCTTCTTTCCTTCCTTCTTTCCTTATTTCCTTTTTCCTTCCTCCCTTCCTCCCTCCCTCTTTCTTTCCTTCTTTCTCTGTCTTTCTTTTTTCTTTCTTCTTTCCTTTCTTCTTTCCTTCCTTTTTTCATTTCTCCCTCCCTTCCTTGCTTCCTTTCTTCCCTTCCTTCCTTCTTCCTTTGTTCTTTCCTTCGTTRTTTCTTCCCTCCTTCCTTCCTTCCTTCCTTCCTTCCTTCTCCCTCCTTCTTCCTTTGTTCTTTCTTTCCTTCCTTTCTTCCTTCTTTCTTTCCTCCCTCCCTCCCTTCCTTTCTTCTTTCTTTCCAATTGTAACCCTTTGCTTGCTCTTCCAGACCGCAAGGGAAGTCTTACCTCTTCTTCACGCAATTCCGAGCTGAAGTGACGGGAGCCAAGATCGAGTATGCTATGGCCTACGTGAGTCTCCTCCAATGTGGGAAATCACTAGAAATCACTGCTAAAAACTAGAGATCCCATTATTATTATTATTATTATTATTATTATTATTATTATTATTAAACAGTCGTTTAGCTATCTGTTGGGGGTGCTTAGGTCGTGCTTTTCCTGCCTGGAAGAGGGGATTGAAATGAATGGCCTTTCAGAAGTCTCTTCCAATTCTAAATTATTATTATTATTATTATTATCATTATTATCATTATTATTAAGCAAAAGCTGGATGGCTGACTTTCGGGGGGATTTGATTGTGCCTTTCCTGTTTGGAAGAAAGGGGTCGGACTGGATGGCCCTTGGGGTCTGCTCTAACTTTAGAATTCTATGGTTCTCGTTGCTCTGTTGCAACATAATGGAGCAGTGGCTTGGCCAACAACAACAACAACAATACATTTATTAATTGCCTCTCCTTGCAGCATTGATAAAAGTGCTATTAAAATACACATTGTAGTTTTTCTTCCCTTTCAATAGTCGGCAGCTGCGTCCGGAGGGCAGAGCGATGTCCCTTTAAAGGAAGAGGAGTTCCAGGTGTCTGAAACAACAGGTGAGTGGCCAGAGAGATGGCTTTTCTTCCCCTAATGTCTTCAGAAAGAAGTAGGGAAGCTTTGATCCTAGAGTTGGAAGGGACCCCCAAAGATCATCTGGTCCAGCCTCATTCTCCCATTCAGGAATGGATCAATTGATTGAATCATAGCATCCTAGAGTTGGAAGTGACCCCAGACCCCATTTGGCCTCATAGGAAATGGAACCCTGAACCCACTGGATTTTGTCCCATCTTACCTGTCCAAACATCTCTCTCTCTATGAACCATCTCAGAGATTAAGATCATCTGCAGAGGCCCTGCTCTTGGTCCCATCTCCCTCGCTGGCACGATTGGTGGGGGCGAGAGAAAGGGCCTTCTCAGTGGTGGCCCCTCGGCTATGGAACTCCCTCCCTAATTATGTGGATGTGGGATCAAGCGTTCAGTTAGTAACCCACTAGAGAATTATGGAATAGTGCAATGACAGTGTGGAATGGCCACAGATTATGATTTTGGATAATGTGATTTTCATAACTGTTTTAAGGTTTGATATGTTTTCATGATTGTTGCTATATATATATATTTATCTTATTATGTATGTATGTTTATATGGCATCGAATCATTGCCTATATATTATTATTATTATTATTATTATTATTAATAATAATAATATATTTTACTGTTATTATATTGTTATTATTTCTATTATTATTAAATGTATTATTAATAATTGTATTATATTATTGGTATCATTACTATTCTTATCTATTCTTATTATTTTGTATTAGTATTTTTATTATTACATTTATTTTTTGGTAATAATAATTGTATTATATTATTCTTATATTGTTATTATTTTGTATTCATATTTTATTATTACATTTATTATTATTAATAGTGCTACTATTACTATTAATAATAATATATTGTTATTATGAATGATAGTAATATTATATATTATTAATAGTATTATATTATTGTTATTAATAATATTGTTCTTTTTAATAATAATAATAATATAATATTTTGTTGTTATTGTTATTTTTATTAATAATTGTATTATATTCTTATATTGTTATTATTTTGTATTCATATTTGTGAATTTGTGAATTATGGGATGTGATGTTTTAAACTATTGTTTATGAATCTTTTGTTGTGAACCGGACTGAATCCCTCTGCAGAGGTCGAGAAGACCGGTATATAAAAGTTCTAAATAAATAAATAAATAAATAACATATTACTATTATTAATAATATATTGTTATTATGAATGATAGTAATAATATTTTTGTTGTTATTGTTATTATTAGTTATTTTGTCATTATTTGGTGTCCTGCTTCATGTCTTGATTGAGACGCATGTTCCCAGGGAATGGACATCCCCTTCTGCCCCGCATTGAGGTTTAGGGGGCAATAATATCTACCAGTGGCACCAGCTTCACCCGTTGCCTCTTTCTCCCTTTTTAGTGACCCACAAAGAAGGCAAATTCCGAGCCGAGCTTTCCAAACTTCTCATCGTTGCCAAAACCGCCCACGATGAGCTATGAATGGCCAAGCCTTTGCAAGGACAATGCAGTGACCTTTCCAATGTCCTGGACGGGTAGGATTCTGGGCATCCCAAAGCGGGAGTCAGTTCTTGCAATGTCTTTTTATGGGAGGAAAAATACCTTCCTCGATGGCGAGAAATACTTCATCATGGAAGAAGGGAATACTTTTCTTCAATCTGGTGCCGGCAATGCATTCAAAACCATTTCTATTCCTTCCAGGATGTTTCAGGACCCAAAATATGACTTAACAACATAAGAACTCCCTTTTGGGATGGGAATAAATAAGGGCATATCTGAATAAATCAGAATATATCTCGTAAGCAATTTGCTGTTTCTGTTTCTTCCTTACTTATAACAATAGCTGACTTTTACTACAATGAATACATTAGCTCAATTTGGGATTTTTAAAATACTCTTTATATTTGCTCCTGTTTTCATGTTTGCATATTGGTATATTTTAATTGGTAGGCTGATGCTTTTATGTCATGCTGCTTTGAGTCTTCATTGGGACAGATGAAGCAGGCTATAAATAAATATAATAATCTATACACATAATAAAAGTGAAAATATGTATGTGTGTGTGTGGCTGGGGTGTCCACAAACAGCCTCCCGCCTCCACAAGTGGCTGTAGACTCCCACTCCTCAGGAGACACCAATGGTCCTCCCTCCAATGACATTGCAGGTTACAGCACTGTAAACATTTCCAAGAGTCCTGCCATTGTCCTCCACAAACACCATCCTGCCCACCACCCAAGTGAAGGCTTTCATATGGGGACAATTTCATCCTAGATTTTATGTGTTTCCTCCACCACAGACATCCCAGTGTTTCTGACTCTCTCCATTGGTGTGAAATTTGCATGACCCCACCCATGGCCTCTCCCTTAACCCTTTCCTATTATTTTCTATGGCACACAGCAAACAGAGGAATTGATCAGTAACCGAACACATTAGAGATGTTTGAAGAAAGTTCACCATGATTTATAGGAGTTGTAGGTCTTGGGATGTATAGTTCACCTGCAATCAGTGAGCACTCTGAATTCCACCAACAATAGACCTGGAACTAACTTGGCACACACAACCCCTATGACCAACAAAACATACTGAAGGGATTTATAGGAGTTGTAGTTCACCTACATCTATAGCGCACAATGGATCTGGACCAAACTTGGCATGCATACTGGTGGTTTTTGAGGGGAATTGGCCTGGGCATTTTGGAGTTGTAGGAAATGGGATGCATAGTTCACCTGCAATCAAAGAGCACTCTGCACTGCAGCAATGATGGACTTGGACTTAACTTAGCACACAGAACCCCCATGACCAATGGAATGTACTGAAGGGATTTGACGGGATTGACCCACCATGATGAGATTTGTAATTCATCCTGCAGCCAGAGAGCACACTGAACCCCACCGATAATGCATCTAGAGCAGGGGTCCTCAAACTTTTTAAACAGAGGGCCAGGTCACAGTCCCTCAAACTGTTGGAGAGCCGGATTATAACTTGAAAAACACATGAATGAATTCCTACGCACACTGCACATATCTTATTTGTAGTGCAAAAGCCACTTAAGAACAATAAATAATTAAAATGAAGAACACTTTTAACAAATATACATTTATTAGTATTTCAATGGGAAGTGTGGTCCTGCTTTTTGGCTGATGAGTTAGGATTGTTGTTGTTGTTGTGTGCTTTTGAGTAATTACAGACTTAGGTTGACCCTGAGCAAGGGCCAGGTAAATTACCTTGGAGGGCCGCATCCGGCCCCCGGGCCTTAGTTTGAGGACCCCTGATCTAGAGCAAACTTGCCCAACATAACAAACTTTAAGTATTGATGGGGTTTCAGGGGGTGAACATGGCATGATGTGAGTTGCAGTTCACCCACAACCTTATGCATTTTGTGAAATTAAAAAAAAAAGATTTTTTTCTAATAACTTGGATAACGCCGGGTACCCAAGCTAATAATAATAATAATAATAATAATAATAATAATAGATAGATAGATAGCTGCTTTGAGTCTCCTTCAGGAGAGATAAAAGTGGAATATAAATAAATATAATAAAAATAGTAGTAGTAGACCTAACCCTGCTTTAATGTAGTTTAGGGGTACCTGAGCCACCGTGCATTTAGTTAAATCGCTTGAACAGGTGACATTAAACCATTTAGAAACAACTTTAAAAAAAATCAACTTTATTTCACATCTGCAAACTCAGCTTTTTATCGTTATCCAAGAAAATAACATGCCCGGGCTTTGCTTCGTCAAAAGAGAATTAAAAATCCATGAATCCTTTGTCCTTTGGAGAGACACTAAAGCTCTCTAGAAATCCCATGAAGGGCAATTTTGGAGGATTAGTCTTGACAAACAAACAGAGATTCCGTGTTCAAATAGAGTCTATCCTTAAACATTTTAAGGCCACACATCCTCCCTTTACAAAGGGAAACCTTATCCAAATTTGGATAAGTTCGAAAAAGATGCTCCTCAATGGTTGATGGAGAAGTTCAGAAGAAGATTCTCCTCAATAGTTGATGGAGAAGTTTGAAGAATATGATTCTCAATAATTGATAATGAAGTTCAAAGAGGATGCTCCTCAATAGTTGATGGAGAAGTTTGGATAAGATGTTCCTCAATAGTCAGTGGAGAAGTTCAGAGAAGATGCTCCTCAGTAGCTGGTGAAGTCAAATAAGATGCTCCTTCTCAATTGTTGGTGGAGAAGTCTGAAGAATATGGTCCTCAATAGTCAATGGAGAAATCGGAGAAGATGCTCCTCAATTGTTAATGGAGAAGTTTGAAGAATATGATTCTCAATAATCAGTGGAGAAGTTAAAAGAAGAGGCACATCAATTGTTGATGGAGAAGATGCTCTTCAATAGTCAGTGAAGAAGTTTGATGAACATGCTCCTCAATAGTTGATGGAGACATTTAGAGAAGATGCTCCTCAATAGTCGATGGAGAAATTCAAAGATGCTCTTCAATAGTCGATGGAGAAGTTCAGAGAAGATGCTCCTCAATAATCAATGGAGAAGTTTGAAGAATATGGTCCTCAGTAGTCTCTGGAGAAGTTAAAAGAAGATGCTCCTCAATAGTGAGTGGAGAAGATGCTCCTCAATAGTTGATGAAGAAGTTCAGAGAAGATGCTCCTCAATAGTGGATGGAGAGGTTCGAGGAAGATGGTCCTCAGTAGTTAACAGAGAAGTTTGGAGAAAATTGTCCTCAATAGTCTCAGTGCTCAGATGTTGCCTTCATCCAGCATCTGGTTGAGCCCCTCGCAGATCCTGGGGAGGTGTGAGCGGTACGGCTCGGCAGGCCCATAAAGTGCTGAGAGGAACTCGTAGTCTGAGAAGTGGTTGAAGACGTGGTTGATACGGGCATGGGACTTGGCGGTCAAGTGGGTGTTGATAGCCTGGTGCAGCAGCTCCCGGCACTCATTGAGCATCCCAGATAGGACCCGCCGGTCAAAGGTGAAGTCCACCTGGTAGAAGCTGACAGCTGTCATGGCCAAAGCATGGACCTTCTTGCGGAAGCGCTCCAGGAGGGCCAGCTCCTCGGGGCCAAACTGCCCATTGCGGTAGAGGAGACCCAGCTTCACGATGACCTTGACAAGGTTCTTGGTGATCTTTTGGGCTTCCTTGCGGTTGCGGGTGAACTCCTTGGTGACCCGGTAGAGCTCATCCAGGATCTCGCTGCTGGTATCATCGATGAAGAGGCTGGCTGTGTTCTTGGAGGCCATCTTACTCAGGAGCTTCTTCTGCGCTTGCAAAGCCAGGTTCTTGGTGCTGAAGGTGTCCATCTCTACTGCAGAGAGAAGAAAGAAGGAGATCTTTGTTATCACCAAAAACAGAACAGCCATTGACACCATCACCACCCCATTGTCATAATCTTCATTACCACATAATCATCACCACCATACTATTGTTATCATCTTTCACTACCACACCATCAGCATCACCATATGGAGACCCGGTGGCACAGTGGGTTAAACCCTTGTGTTGGCAGGACTGCTGATCAGCAGTTCGAATCCGGGGAGAGTGGCTTGAGCACCCTCTGTCAGCTCCAGCTCTCCATGAGGGGACATGATAGAAGCCTTTCACAAGGATGGTAAAACATCAAACTTGCGGGTGTCCCCAGACAACACCCTTGCAGATGACCAATTTTCTCACACCAGAAGTGACTTGCAGTTTCTCAAGTCACTTCTGACTCGGAAAAAAAGCATCACCATCATACCATTGTTACCATCTTTTCATTATCATATCATCAGCATCATATTATTGTTATCATCTTCCTATTATCATATCACGGTCATCATCTCATTGTTATCGTATTTGTTACCACCTCATTAAGAAAAATTCTTAAGAAGTCCTTCCTAATATTTCAGTGGACACTTTTCCTACAATTTGAACCCGTCGTTCTACGTCTTAATCTCTGAAGCTGGTTCTCCTGACAACATACAATGTATCACTCAGTTTCCGTGCACAATGGTTTTGTTTTCCGGAGAAGTGCTTTGAAACCCAACCAACCACCTCCCTCTTCGAATGAACACAAAGGTTGCTCTGGAGGACCTAGCAAACCCTTAGAGCACACCTCTATAAGAAGTTCTCCAGGACAACTCTATAGGGCATTCATTTCAATAGGGTTCACTTTTATCCATGTTTAGGATGCTAATGTTCGCCACTAACTGGGGTATGCCGCAGACCAAGATGGTGGCAATTTGTAAGTATCTGGAGATACATTATGGAGATGGTGAAGGTTGCTCCAGAGACTAGAAATCCCATCAAAGGGATTCATGTTTAGGAGAAAAGTACAGCGGAAGAACCTCTTGATCATCAAAGATGGAATAGATTGTCTTAGAAGGTGGTGGACTCTCCTTCTTTGGAGGCCTTCCTCCCAAGGTTAGGAGGCCATGTTTTATGGTATTTCTGAGGTTGAATTAGGTGTCCTATGAGAACCTTTCCAACACTTCAGGTTTTATAATTCTATTAAGGATAAGTCCAGACCGTACAATATTCGTATCGATGTCCCTTGCCCCGCATTTCTTTTGAAGACCCTCAGCATGACCGCCCTATTTCTAGGAGCAGCAAAGGCTCAGTTACCGAAAACCACATCCCCCTTTTGTTCTTTTGTTTATAGTTGTAGAAATCCAAACGGATCAAATGTTTCATGGAGCCATTCCAAGAAAAAGGTCTGAATAATTTAATGGATGAAAAAAGAGAAAGAGGCAGATGGGCAGCGACAGGAAAGTCAATACAGAAGACAGGTTTTCTGGGTAGAAAAACCACACCTATTTCCCTGTATTTTCTGAATCATAGAATCATAGTTGGAAGAGACCTTGTGGATCATCCAGTCCAACCCCATTTTGACACAAAGCAGGAAAATCACATTCAAAGCACACGCACACACACACACACCCCAACAGATGGCCATCCAACCTCTGTTTCAAAGCCTCCAAGAAAGGCGCCTCCACCACACTCTAGAGTTCCACTTCTGAACAGCTGTCTCTCACAGTCAGGAAGATCTTCCTCATGTTCAGGTGGAATCTCCTTTCTTTCCTGTAGTTTGAAGCCATTGTTTCATTGCATCCTAGTCTCCAGGGCAGCAGAACACAAGCCTGCTCCCTCCTCTCTATGACTTCCCCTCACATTTTTATTCATAGCCTTCATCATGTCTCCTCTAAGCATGCCATCTCTTTAAGCCACTCCTCATAGGGCTTGTTCTCCTGACACTTGATCCTTTGAGTCACCCTCCTCTGGACACATTCCAGCTTGTCAACATCTCCCTTCAATTGCAGTGCCCAGAATTGGACACAGTGTGATTCCAAGTAAAGTGGTCTGACCAAGGCAGAATAGAATAGAACCCCATTGGCTTTTTTTGCTGCTGCATCACATTGTTGGCTCATGTTCCCCTTCCTGTCCACGAGGACTCCAAGATCTTTTCCACACGTTTTGCTGTCGAGCCAGGCATTGTCCCCCATTCTGTATCTTTGCATTTCCTTTTTTTCTGCCTAAGTGGAGTATCTTGCATTTATCCCTATTGAACTTCATTTTGTTAGTTTTGGCCAATCGTCTTTCTAATCCGTTAAGATCGTTTTGAATTCTGCTCTTATCTTCTGGAGTATTGGCTCCCCCTCCCAATCTGGTGTCGTCTGTAAACTTGATGATCATGCTTTCTCACCCTTCATCTAAGTCATGAAGGCACAGAACCAGGCCCAGGACGGAGCCCTGCTTATGGTACTCCCCTCGTCACTTCTTTCCAGGATGAAGAGGAAGCACTGGGAAGAATCACCCTTTGGGTGATTGGATGAATAAGCTGAGGATCAATCTCGACAAGACAGAGGTCCTCCAGGTCAATCATAGGCCGGATCGAGGTATAGGATGGCAATTTGTGCTTGACGGGGTTGCACTCCCCCTGAAATCGCAGGTCCGCAGCTTGGGTGTCCTCTTTGATTCGGCTCTGACGCTTGAATAATCCCAATTAAACAGCTCAAGGGAAGATCTCAGGGACTCACATGTCTTTACACTAATGCACAGAGCATGGGAAATAAACAAGACGAACTCCAACTTTTAGCACAACACCACAAATGATATCATAGGGATCACTGAAACCTGGTGGGATGACTCCTATCGCTGGAATGTAGATATCGAGGGGTATAACCTCTTTCACAGAAACCGAACAAAGGGGAGAGGAGGCGGAGTAGCCTTATATGTCAAAAACTCTTATGCTGCAGAAGAGATTCAAGACAGCAATCTGGGAAACCAGCTTGAAATCATCTGGATAAGAATCAAGGGAACTGGGACTCAAAAAGATGTCGTTGTAGGCGTCTACTACAGACCCCCAAGCCAGGAGGAAGAACTTGATGAAGTCTTCTGCCAACAGTTGACCAAACAGGCACAGAGAAGAGATGTAGTAGTCATGGGCGATTTCAACTATCCCGATATTTGCTGGAAAACAAACTCGGCCAAGAGTACAAGTCCAACAAATTCCTCGCTTGCCTTGCAGACAATTTCATGGTCCAGAAGGTAGAAGAGGCAACAAGGGGATTGGCTACTCTTGATCTCATCCTAACAAATGCGGAGGCCTGATCGATGCGGTCGAAGTGGTAGGATCCTTAGGGGCAAGTGACCATGTGCTCCTGCAATTTGAGGTACAAAGGAAGGCCGAAACTAAGACAAGTCAAACCCGCATTTTGGACTTTAGGAGAGCTGATTTCCAAAAAATGAAGGAAATGCTGAGCAGCATTCCGTGGACACAGATACTAAAAGACAAGGGAGTTACGGATGGATGGGAATTTCTCAAGAGTGAAATACTCAAGGCACAATTGCAAACTGTGCCAACAAAGAGAAAAAATAGGACAAGTGCAAAGAAGCCAGAATGGATGTCCAAAGAACTTCTAACTGTGCTAAGACACAAAAGAGACATGCACAAGAAGTGGAAAAAGGAGAAATCACCAAAGAAGAATTCAAACAAATAGCCAACACCTGTAGGGAAAAGGTCCGCAAGGCTAAAGCAAAAACGAGCTCAGACTTGCCAGGGACATTAAAACAATAAAAAGGGCTTCTATTCTTATGTCAGTAGAAAAAGGAAAAACAAGGAGGCGATAGGACCTCTTCGAGGAGAAGATGGGGCAATGCTGACAGGGATAGGGAAAAGGCAGAACTACTTAATGCCTTCTTTGCCTCGGTCTTCTCACAAAAAGAGAGTCTTCAACCTCAGCAAGATGGAGTGGATGAGGGATTGGAGGACATCCAACCCCAAATTGGGAAAGAAGTCGTCCAGGAATACCTGGCCTCTCTTAATGAGTTCAAGTCCCCAGGGCCAGATCAACTACACCACCCAAGTATTGAAGGAACTAGCGGAAGTCATTTCGGAACCATTGGCAACCATCTTTGAGAGTTCTTGGAGGACGGGAGAAGTTCCAGCAGATTGGAGGAGGGCCAATGTGGTCCCAATCTTCAAGAAGGGAAAAAAGGATGACCCAAACAACTACCGTCCGGTCAGCCTCACGTCGATACCGGGCAAGATTCTGGAAAAGATTGTTAAGGAAGCGGTCTGCAAACACTTAGAAACAAATGCAGTCATCGCTAATAGTCAACATGGATTTATCAAAAACAAGTCATACCAGACTAATCTGATCTCTTTCTTCGATAGAGCTACAAGCTGGGTAGATGCGGGGAATGCCGTGGATGTAGCGTACCTGGATTTCAGTAAGGCCTTCGACAAGGTCCCCCATGACCTTCTGGCAAGGAAACTAGTCCAATGTGGGCTAGGCAAAACTACGGTGAGGTGGATCTGTAATTAGTTAAGTGGACGAACACAGAGAGTGCTCACTAATGCTTCCTCTTCATCTTGGAAAGAAGTGACAAGTGGAGTGCCGCAGGGTTCCGTCCTGGGCCCGGTCCTGTTCAACATCTTTATTAATGACTTAGATGAAGGGCTAGAAGGCATGATCATCAAGTTTGCAGACGACACCAAATTGGGAGGGATAGCCAATAGTCCAGAGGACAGGAGCAGAATTCAAAATGATCTTGACAGATTAGGGAGATGGGCCAAAACTAACAAAATGAAGTTCAACAGTGACAAATGCAAGATACTCCACTTTGGCAGAAAAAATGAAATGCAAAGATACAGAATGGGGGACGCCTGGCTCGAGAGCAGTACGTGTGAAAAAGATCTTGGAGTCCTCGTGGACAACAAGTTAAACATGAGCCAACAATGTGATGTGGCGGCAAAAAAAGCCAATGGGATTTTGGCCTGCATCAATAGGAGCATAGTGTCGAGATCTAAGGAAGTAATGCTACCCCTCTATTCTGCTTTGGTTAGACCACATCTGGAATATTGTGTCCAATTCTGGGCACCACAATTCAAGAGAGATATTGACAAGCTGGAATGTGTCCAGAGGAGGGCGACTAAAATGATCAAGGGTCTGGAGAACAAGCCCTATGAGGAGCGGCTTAGTGAACTGGGCATGTTTAGCCTGAAGAAGAGAAGGCTGAGAGGAGATATGATAGCCATGTATAAATATGTGAGAGGAAGCCACAGGGAGGAGGGAGCAAGCTTGTTTTCTGTCTCCCTGGAGGCTAGGACGGCTTCAAACTACAAGAGAGGAGATTCCATCTGAACATGAGGAAGAACTTCCTGACTGTGAGAGCCGTTCAGCAGTGGAACTCTCTGCCCCGAGTGTGGTGGAGGCTCCTTCTTTGGAAGCTTTTAAGCAGAGGCTGGATGGCCATTTGTCAGGGGTGGTTTGAATGCAATATTCCTGCTTCTTGGCAGGGGGTTGGACTGGATGGCCCATGAGGTCTCTTCCAACTCTTTGATTCTATGATTCTATGATAAGCTCAGGCGTCGGCGGTGGCTGGGAGGGCATTCGCACAATTGAAGTTCGTGCGCCAGCTGCAACCATACCTCGTGAAGTCAGATTTGGCCACAGTGGTCCACGCCTTAGTTGCCTCTAGATTGGACTATTGCAATGCGCTCTACGTGGGGCTGACCTTGAAGACGGCCCGGAAATTCCAATTGGTCCAACGGACGGCAGTCAGATTATTAACCGGTGCGAATTACAGAGAGTCAACCCTCCTGTTTAAGTAGCTCCACTGGCTGCCGTTTATTTTCCGGGCCCAGTTCAAGGTGCAGGTCTTCACCTACAAAGCCCTGAACGGTTTGGGACCCACCTACGTGCGCAACCGCATTTCCATTTACGAACCCACACAATCCCTTCGATCTTCTGGAGAGGCCCTTCTTTCACTCCTGCCCACATCAGAAGTGCGACTTGTGGGGACAAGAGAGAGGGCCTTCTCTGTGGTGGCCCCCCAGCTCTGGAACTCACTCCCCAGAGATATTAGGCAAGCCCCCATGCTGGCAATCTTCAGGAGGAATCTGAAAACCTGGTTATTCTAATGTGCCTTCAGTGATTAAATGTAAGATACTCCCTGACCAAACTTTGCACAAAATGCCCTTAGAAGCACTTTATTTTATGGTTTGTGCAATTAAATCCTTCCTCATTCCCAGATCCTCCTCCTTATAATTTACATTGTCCTATCTCCCAGTGTTTTAAAATTTTATCCTTGAATTCGGCCCTGCCCAGTGAAATCTTCTGTGTTTTTAATGTTTGATTTTATACCGTTGTGTCGCTTATTATATTAGTTTTGCATTTTATGTATTTTTTATGGTTCTATGTTTTTGTGTTATATTTTTGTACTGTATTGATGGGTGTGGCCTCATGTAAGCCGCACCGAGTCCCCCTGGGGGAGATGGAGCAGGGCATAAAGTTTTATATTATTATTGTTGTTATTATTATTATTATTATTATTATTATTATTATTTAACCAATTAGAGATCCACCTAACCATAGTTTTGCCTAACCAGAAGGTCATGGGGGACCTTGTCAAAGGAAAGCTTTCCTGAAGTGCAGATATGCTCCATCCATAACATTCCCTGCATCTACCCAGCTTGTAACTCTTTCAAAAAAAGAGATCAGATTAGTCTGGCATGACTTGTTTTTGATCAATCCATGTTGACTATTAGCGATGACTGCATTCCTTTCTAAGTATTTGCAAACCACTTCCTTAATGTTCTTTTCCAGAATCTTGCCTGGTATCGACGTGAGGCTGACTGGACTTTGGTAATGGCTTGGGTCGTCCTTTTTCCCTTCTTGAAGATAGATAGGGATCACACTGGCCCCCCTCCAATCTTCTGGGACTTGTCCCCTTCTCTAAGAACTCTCAAAGATGATTCCATTGGTTCTGAAATGACTTCTGCTAGTTCCTTCAATACTCTTGTTTCTGTACAGAAAACCCTTTCATATTTTGGTTTTCAAAAGCAGATTTTCTCCACAGAGAAGCAGCTTCTATTTCTTGTATTTTCTGTGGATGAAAGAAATGTTTCTGTGCAGAAAACCCTCACATATTTTCAAGTGTTTTCCGTGCAGGAAAACCCATTTTCTGAGGAGGTAAAATGAGTTCTGCGCAGAGCGTTTTTCCTCCAAAAACACGTTTTCTGCTTGGAAAAACAACAACAACGAGAGAAAATCCCATAGGGTTGCATGGATACAAAACTATTGAAACACATGGGGTTTCGGGATTCACATGCTCCTTTCAAAGCTCCCAAAGTATCTGGATTTACAAGCCGGAAGTCTTACTTCCAGAGGAGTAAATAACCCCTATATAAACAGAAAACCGGATTGCCAAAGGGAGTGATTCACCTTTCGATCAGCAAATAAAGGTGAAGGCGTGAGCCGTGTTTGCGTTAAGATTACGAGCGGCCTCTCCTTCCAGGGGATTTCACAAGGCGTCGACTCTCCTTTTCTCTCATGGCATTGACTCTTCCTTCAGGATGATGGGAGTTGTAGTCCAAGCCACTGGCATCAGGAAAGCATCTCAATCTATGCAACACATAAGATTTTTTAATTATTTTAATAATAATAAGAACAAAACTTTATTTATAACCTTCGCTTTGTTCCTGAAGGAACTCAGAAAGGTTTCCAAAAAATAACACAAATGACAAACATTCAATGCCCAAAAGTAATCAAACAGCAGTCAAGATAAAACATGAAATAGAATAAACTCAGTATAATAACTTATGAAACAACCAAAGCCGAAGGCTAAAAGAAATTACACATAATAAACACAAGGTGTGAAACCAATTAAAACACCATATGTTAAAAGCGTAGTGTAACATATGACATACACAGGCTGAGGTAAGTAATCGGTGTCTAGGTGGGGATGTATGTAAAGCAGGGGTCCTCATACTAAGGCCCGGGGCCCGAATACGGCCCTCCAAGGTCATTTACCTGGCCCTCACTCAGGGTCAACCTAAGTCTGAAATGACTTGAAAGCACACAACAGCAATCCTATCTAATCATCCAAAAGCAGGTCCACACTTCCCATTGAAATATTAATATGTTTATATTTGTTAAAATTGTTCTTCATTTTAATTATTATATTGTTTTAAAGTGTTTTTGCACTGCAAATAAGATATGTGCCATGTGCATAGGAATTCTTTCATTTTTTTTTTTCAAATTGTAATCCGGCCCTCCAACAGTTTGAGGAACTGTGACCTGGCCCTCTGTTTAAAAAGTTTGAGGACCCCTGATGTAAAGGATGCTAATCCTCCTCCTCTCCATATGCTAAAGTGCACAGATGGGTCTTTAGAAGCTTCTTAAAGGAGAGGAGAGGGGGGCATGGTTAGTTCTTCAGGGGGGAGTTCCACAGGTGGGGAGCGGCCACGGAGAAGGCCCCCTCTCTCGTTCCCACCAATTGCGTTTGAGACAGAGGTGGGACTGAGAGCAGGGCCTCCTCCATGGATGCAGTGCCTGAGTTGGTTTGTATGCAGAAATACAGTTTCAAATAGTGTGGACCTGAACTGCTCAGGACTTTATAGGTAACTAGCGGTCCCCTGCCACGCATTGCTGTGGCCCAGTCTGGTGATCTGGAAAATAAAGTAATGAGAAAGTGTTGGTTTCTAATATATGTAATTTCTTGATGCTTGTCGATAAACAGTATTTCTTGCTGTTTATTTGCCAGTGTTGATGTGGAGAGTGTCTGGTTTGCCTACTCTGGAACATGCAATATATCATTGCCCTTCTTTAGAGGTCCCTTTCAAATCTTTGATACTGCATCTGCCATATACGTATATATATGTGTGTGTGTGTGAATGGCTGGATGGCCCTTTGTCAGGAGGGCTTTGATTATGTTTTCTTGCCCTGGTGAAGGGAGTTGGACAGGGTGGCCTTAAGGCAGCATTTCTCAACCTGGGAAGTCAAGACCTCGGGGGAGGGTCACCAGGGGAGTGTCAGAAAGGTCACCAAAGACCACCAGAAAACACAACATTTTCTGTTGGTCATGGGGGTTCTGTGTAGGATGTTTGGCCCAATTCCATTGTTGGTGTGGTTCAGAATGCTCCTTGATTGTAGGTGAACTATAAATCCCAGTAACTACAACTCCCACATGTCAAGGTCTATTTCCCCCAAACTCCATTTGTGTTTATATTTGGGCATATTGAGTATTCGTACCATACACACATATATGTATATGACAGATGCAGTATCAAAGATTTGGTCCAGATCCATCATTGTTTTGAGTCCACAGTGCTCTCTGGATGTAGGTGAACTACAGCTCCCAAACTCAAGGTCAATGCCCACCAAACCTTTCCAGTATTTTCTGTTGGTTATGGGAGTCCTGTGTGCCAATTTGGTTCAATTCCATCGTTGATGGAGTTCAGAATGCTCTTTGATTGTAGGTGTAAATCCCAGCAACTACAACTCCCAAATGACAAAATCATAATTTTTGAGTTATGGTCACTCCTTGTGTTGTGAGACGTTTTGTTGCCAATTTTGGTGTGATTTCGTTCATTGGTTCTTTTGTTTTCAAGGTACTCATTATGCACAGAGCATTTTAATATACTGTATATACTTGAGTATAAACCTAGTTTTTCAACCCTTGTTTTAGGCTGAAAAAGCCCCCCTCAACTTATACTTGAGTCAAGGTGATTTATTATTTTGCTCTGTCATTACTATTATTTTTTATGACATTTATTATTTTACTCGATTTATTATTATAATTATTTTACTTCATTGTTATTATTACATTTACGATTTTATTTTATAATTGTTATTACATTTATTATTGTACTCTATTTATGATTGCTATTATTACATTTATTATTTTACTGTATTTTTATTAGAAGGATACGTAAGCACATTTACATTGAAGAGGGTTAGGGCAGTCTTATCTTAAATTACAATTTTATATAAATATTCAAAACCATTTAACCTACTGATGCCTCAATTAATGTAATGTTATTGGTATCTATTTTCATTTTGAAATGTGCCAGTAGCTTCTGAATTTCCCACTCTCGGCTTATACTCGAGTCAATCCGTTTTCCCAGTTTTTTGTGGTAAAATTAAGCAGTTTGGCTTATATTTGGGTCAGCTTATACTCAAGTATATAGGGTATATAGATAACCAGCACTTTGTATTTAGCCCAGAAGCAGACTGACAGCTAGTGGAGCTCCCATAGCAGGGGAGTGGTTCTCTCCCTGTACATCACTCCGGTTAGTAACCTGGCTGCCGATCTCTGCACTAATTGTAACTTCCAGACTATCCTCAAATACAGCCCCACATAAAAAGCATTGCAGTAGTCCAAGCAGGATGTGACTAAGGTGTGGACTACCATGGCCAAGTCTGGTGTCTCCAGGTACAGGCACAGCTGGCGCACAAGTTTTAACTGTGCAAAGGCACTCCTAGCCACCACCGACACCTTGGGTTCCAGAGTCAGCAATAAGTCCAGGATCACCCATGTCAGATTCCACAGCAAGCTGGCTTCAGGAAGGGCAAAAGCTGCACATCGCAAGTGCTGAACCTGACTCAGCACATAGAAGATGGCTTTGAAAGGCAGCAGATCACAGGAGCTGTCTTCATAGACCTGTCAGAGGCTTATGATACTGTAAACCTCCTCCTCCTCCTGAGGAAAATGTATAATATCACAAAGGACTACCATCTCACCCACCTCATAGGAAACCTGCTACAAAACAGGAGCTTTTTTGTTGAGTTCCAGGGCCAGAGAAACAGATGGCGGAAACAGAAGAATGGCCTGCCTCAGGGGAGCGTGCTTGCTCCATCCATGTTCAACATTTACACAAATGACCAGCCACTGCCAGAAGGGACAGAGAGCTTCATCTATGCTGACGATCATGGCATCACCACCCAAGCAAGGAGCTTTGAAATGGTTGAACAGAAGCTCTCTGAAGCTCTAGGTGCTCTTACCGCCTACTACAGGGAAAACCAGCTGATCCCTAATCCATCTAAAACACAGACATGTGCTTTTCACCTTAAGAACAGACAAGCATCCTGAGCTCTGAGGATTACCTGGGAAGGAATCCCACTGGAGCATTGCAGCGCACCCAAATACCTGGGAGTCACCCTGGACCGTGCTCTGACCTAGAAGAAGCACTGCGTGAATATCAAGCAAAAAGTGGGTGCTAGAAACAATCCTACCTGCGTGACTGCATCTCCATCTACGAACCCACACGTTCCCTTCGGTCATCTGGAGAGGCCCTGCTCGTGATCCCGCCTGCGTCGCAAGCGCGCTTGGTGGGGACAGGAGACAGGGCCTTTTCCATGGTGGCCCCCCAACTCTGGAACACCCTGCCCCTACATTGGCAGTCTTCAGAAAGAACCTGAAGACCTGGCTGTTCCTATGTGCCTTCCCAGATTAGGAAATCTCCAATACCAAGTCCCATAAGCACTTTACTAGAACTAAGATTGGCTGCACACCGCACACTGCACTTGCCCTATAATGCCCTATATACCACCTGTCACATCAGCACTTTTTAATCCTGTACCCATTACTCTGGCCAGGCCCAGTTTTATTGTGTCTTAGTGTATTGTTTATTGCCTGTTGTTTATATTGCTTTAATTGTTTTAATTTGCTTTAGGTTTTGTATTGTTATATTGTGTGTTGAGGCCTTGGCCTTTGTGAGCCGCATCGAGTCCTTCGGGAGATGCTAGCGGGGTACAAATAAAGTTTAATAATAATAATAATAATAATAATAATAATAATAATAAATAATATCATATGAAATCTGACTGGCACAACCTGGGGATCACAACCAGACACAGTGAAGACATCTGCCCTTGTGCTTGCTACTCTGCTGTTGAGTATGCATGCCCAGTGTGGAATACATTCCACCATGTTAAAACAGTGGATGTGTCTCTTAATGAGACATGCCGCATTATCACAGGGGTGTCTGCGCCCTACACCACTGGAGAAATTACACTGTTTAGCCAGTATTGCACCACCTGACATCCTCCAGGAAGTAGCAGCCAATGGTGAAAGGACCAAGGCAGTGACATCTCCAGCTCATCCTGTTTGGGTATCAGCCAGCACGTCAACGACTTAAATCAAGAAATAGTTTTCTAAGATCTACAGAGACACTCGCTGGAACACCTCAGCAAGCGAGAGTCCAAAAGTGGCAGGCTCAAACCCAGAACCTCAATCAATGGCTGATACCAAATGAGAGACTCCCCTTTGGGCACACAGAAGACTGGGCAACTTTTAAGGCGCTGAACAGACTGCGCTCTGGCACCACGAGATGCAGAGCCAACCTCAAGAAATGGGGCTACAAAGTGGAATCCACAACATGCGAGTGTGGAGAAGAGCAAACCACTGACCACCTGCTGCAATGCACCTGAGCCCTGCCACATGCACAATGGAGGACCTTCTTGCGGCAACACCAGAGGCACTCCAAGTGGACAGATACTGGTCAAAGGACATTTAATCAACTACCAAGCTTGCAAACTTTGTGTTTTGTATATTTGTTTGTTTGTTTTGTTTAAAATGTAATACAGCTGTCTGGTTGCTCCTGACATGATAAATAAATACC